GCTGGTGAATATCTGACTTCAGCTTTGTATCTATGAAGAATTAGCAGTGGGCGATAATCAATAATTGCCCCCCTCTTTGAAGTCATATGATGCCCTCAATGTAACTAAAGCCCAGCAGTGAGGAGCTGAACTTTACCCTCCTCTGCTGTCACTGAAGATGGACCGGGTCACCTACAGAGCAGCGCTGGTAACTGTTAATGTAGTAATGCTCTTTTTATCTGAGGGTCCCATTTCATAGGGAAGATTTCAACCACTACCCCTTGTAACTCAGTTCCAAGGGGCAAGGAGACACTCGAAATCAAGGGGTAGGGGTAAGAATAAGAAATGGTATTGGGCCTTGTAGTCGTTTACTCTTTTCAATACATCTCAAATGCATCTCCAATGACTGCTTATGATCATAACAGAGAAAGAAAGACGAAGAAAGAAACTCTTAAGCTTTTGCTTTCCTATCTGATGTGATAAAGCAGCTGATTAGGTCATCCATTGTTGCTGTCACGGAAGCATTGAGATGCTTTAACGTTCACACTACAAGTATTATGTGGCCATGTGTGTCTCTGACTACCTCTGAAGTGTAATGGTTGCATTCGCAATGCATTCACACACTTGTGATCCGATTACCCAGGGCAATGATAGTGCCAGGTGTGAACAGGGCTGAAGTGAGCATAAAAAGCTAACGTGCCTCCAGAGCTCAGGCCTTTACGTTCACAAAACCAGTCCCTGTGTGCAAAACTGTACTTGTTAAAGATTATATTTTTGGCAAGTCATGAGTTTTGGCCGTTATCTTTCTGACAAACTTAAATTGCCAGGCTTATTACATACTGAGGCTTTTTACTGAGTAACTACAGGGACGTCAATGCAAACTGGCTGAGCTTCTCTTAGGATTATATGTAGAAGTATGTTATAATACTGGGCCCAGGCCATTTAAGGGGTCAACCAAACTTTTCCCTTTGATTTCAAATACACTGATATTACCAGTGATTCACTCTAACCTATTTATTAATGGACTTCTTGAAATCAGTAAAACTCCTCTGTAAAATTTGATCCTTTCCCGTGTGAATCTTTAAAAAAGACTTTTAAAAACAATTTGGTTAAAGTTTACTTGGATGGTCCACCATAGATGCTTTGTGGTTGCTCAGTCTGTCTTTAACTAACATTCAACTAAATATCAATGAGATGCAACTGAACTTGAAGTTGAGTCTGAAAGATATTAAATCTAAAACTGAACCTAACTTCAACCCTAAGCCTAACCTTAATGCTGTTGAGACTCAACTGAGTATCACCAGAAAGTTTGTTAATAATGTAAGTATCTGTAGATCATCTATAGGGGACCATCCAAATAAAGTGTGACCAAGAATTTTTATAGAAGCTGTGTAGATTACACCCCTCTTTTAACGTTAATCTATATCTATAATCTATAAAGGTATCATCTATGGTAACTTTAGTGGGCTTAAAAGTTGAAACCCAAAACTAAACACTTAGGTCATAAAACCACATCAGCTGACATCATGTCTACATCATTTCTAACACACTCAAACAGGCTTATCTCACTCTGGCACCAGTCACGATCTCTACTAAACTGATGGGTAAAAATTCCAGGAGGGTGAATCAGGACTTAAAAGCATGCCATGCATCTCTGGGCCTTGTTGCCATCACATTAAGTACTCTTAAAAGTTAACAAGACGTTAAGTTCCTGCGTTTCATGTTCACCTCCAAGGTCATGGACAAAAATGCAATGCTATTACAAGACAAATGTGAGCCAAATACAGCCTCGAGTATGTGTTGAGGCACATAATGAAAGGGGTCCCTACCAAAAATATGTACCAAATACGAGAAAAACTGGGTTCATAATGACCAAACGATAAAGAACAGCACGCCTCGTAACAAGACCTGGTGTCCAGCATGTCAAATGCTTTACTCACAGTTGTCATAGCGAAGTAGTATCCTCGTCGACTGAGGTGCGGCAAGTCCTGGACACCGTGAATGTATTTTGATGGAATGTCACCGGACCGCATTGCGATGCTGGTGCTTCTTCCAACGCCCATATCCTCCATCACCCAGGAACGACTAGCATTAAGAGCCACTTGACTACACAGTGTTGAAATGCCTTTTGTTTACATCAACTTTGGCAGGAGTTACAGCTGTTATTGATGATACCTTAATTGCACCTTTTAAGGTGGAACGGGAAAATTCGAATAAGAAGCTGGCGAACGAGCGGCTGACTTCAGCTGTGTTTGACAGTTTCTCGTTGCAGAATAAACCTATCAGGAAACCAGCTGGAGTAATTAGAAATGCAAATAAGTCAGTCCGTCTCCAAATCATCATGTTCATCTTAAATCTCTCTTTGCTTTTTTCGTTAGCTACTGCCTAGGCGAGATTGTTGTCTGCATTGCCATGTGACCAGCAGTCTACGCACCAACCTTCAGGGTTAAAGGGTGAATTAGCAGTTCTACATTAAAACCATTTATTGTTAAAACTCTGTTAAAACGACCAGCAGAGCTGTATTTTACTGCTAAAGAGGATTTTATTTTTACCTAACAAATCTAATTCTGATGTGGAGCCACAAAAGGGCAGTTGCTGACCCCTGATCTAGTGTGGCTACAGCTTTAAGAGAAAGGTAAAACACTCAAAGCACCACAATATATATGTTCAGGTATTTCTCCGAATTTAAAGACCAGGGGATATACTGGCTCTCTAAGCTGTTCCATGAGTTTTACATCAAGTCAAGTGGTGGAATCACCACTTGTTCTTCCAGAAACACAGATTTAACTCTAAAATCTTTGCTTTGTTAGCAGCAAACCATGAGGCACAAATTACAAACTTACTTATGTAATCTGTTAGAACAGCATAGCTTTCGCTGGATCACCCTTTCGGCCACTTCAATGTCTTTTGTCCAAAAACCAAACCCAATTCATTCAGCACTGATCAGGCTTCTGATAGAGGCGCAGTGAGGGGTGATGCACAGTTAGCCGACATGAACTTCACCTTTCGTATATGCTATTACGGACATGTTTCTGGGGATGAAGTCACTGGTTTTGGAACGGTTAAATGAGACAAAGGCACTCCAAGCATCTGTGACAGCCACAGTATTTGACCGGCTCAAGAAAGAAACAGGATTCCAGCTGATAGGCATCTTTTATCACATCCAACAATGCTTTGGTTTCACAACATGCAAACTGGAGAAGAAACAACTATGCTGCCATAAAACTGACAAAGGTATTCACAGTATGTTCAACCACCTCCTTATGACCCGTCCACCTCTTCGGGCATGTCTGCTGCCTTTAGCCTTAGTCTAAAATGCAGTCTTAAACTAAAAAGGAAAACACTGGTACAATAAGTAAATGGGATAAATTGTAAATGGTGCAATAAAGCAATATGTAGTTGTGCCATTTAGCAGGAACTCTGTCGAAACCTTCTCCGCATTAAGAAATAAAAATGGAGAAAATTTGTTTATGATTTATAGCATACTTAGGAGACGTTTTCTTATATTTCTACGCACCATATGGCAACAGAATGCAACAATGCAATCCGCAAAGCAAATGCATTCAATGGGAGTAAACCAACAATTCCACATATATCATTCACACATGGGGGGGGGGAAATCATAAACAGCAAAATCTGTATAAATGTTTTAAGAACATAGGAAGGAAAACGATTAATTGACATAACAGCAGTGTCCAGTGTTTCCAATGAAAGTATCCATTTATCCTGCTTCCACTGTCTGCACCGATTGCAGTTCCACTGTTGCATGCTGTTGCCATATGGCAACAATTATATTTTATTGTTATACAATTATGTTTTATACAATAAATATAAAGTGTTTTATTTAAAAAAAAACCTTAACCTCCCAAAGACATGCAAACACATAAAGTATACCATATAACTCCTTCAGGTCCCCCCGTCTATATATATATATATATATATATATATATATATATTAGACAGGTAACACTTTATTTGGATGGTCCACTGTACATTCTTTGTAAATTCTCAGTCTGTCTTTAAGTAACATTCAAGTAAATATCCATTAAATTCAACTAAACTTGAAGTTCAGTGTGAAAGAGTTTATTAATTCTATCCCTTATTCTAACCCGAACCTTCACCATAAGGCAAAACCTACATCTACATCTACTCCTAATGCTAATGTTGTCTGTATTTCAACTGAACGTATCTGTAGAGCATCTATAGGGGACCATCCAAATTAAGTGTGACCCAAATTTTATATATATATATATATATATATATATATATATATATATATATATACAGGGTATATATAAAAATAAAAAAATATATATATAAAACAATTGGGTCACACTTAACTATATATATATATATATATATATATATATATATATAGCTAGTACCATTCTCTCACTGGTAAAATTCTGGTCATCTCTTCCCTTTAAAATGTCTGGACTTTATATGGGCTTTGTGTTAAAATAAACATTTACCATAATACTAAACAACACCAAGAAAAACTATATAAATAATTGATAAGTAAATTATATATCTATATAATTATATTATCTCAACGACGTAGGTGCCAAACAGTATGAATTCATGAAAACTGATACTGTTGACATTCAATCTTGTTAGCCATGTTAGCCCATTAAATGCTTTGGCCCTCATTCAAACCAGTATCATAGAACATTCCTAAACCAGTCACGCCACAGGCAGCAAACTCGCAACTACGCATTGCTCATTCATCTAGTATCCAGACAGGCTTACAGACCGAATCTTTAATTGACTGTATGGATCATCCAAGAGAGCAAAAACAAACCACCCAGAGATTTTAGCCGACTACTACATGACTACTACAGCCCTGCCCACGTAGGCTCCTCCTAACATGTGTCATGTGCTGTATCTGTAGACTCGCTGAGGTCAAAGAAATATGCAAACTCATTCGTTATTAGTCTTTTTATTTAGTAAAATAAAAATGCATTGAGATTCACAAGTTGATTCAAGAGAGAATGAACATACATAGTATGTTTAAAGTGGGTTTTACTGCAGGTATGTAGTCGGTGATGATTGGTACGCAATGAATCCGAAAGGACTGTGACGCCAGGATCATCTTTACCTTTTAACTGTGTAACTGTTATGTCTTACAGTCATATGTGGCCGTGGCTCGATTTGAGAGTGGAGTTCTTCTCATCACGAGGTAGAGGTTTTCATCCGATCAAGGGCTGTTGCGTCAGCACGTTGTCCTTCACTGGTGACATGGGCTCTCCTTTTTTACACAGGGTGTAACTTCGAGTTCTCCCTGAAACACACCCACAGTTGTGAATTAAAACACACTGTCCTGTGAAAGAGACATCACCAGCACCAGTGTTGTGAATGCTGAACTGAACGAGTCAGTTTACAGACAATGCACTTGAACGCAAGCGGCGTTCACTCGCGCGAGAGTGAGCACATACGTCATGATGCTTACATTAACACAGCCAAGCATCTCTGGTGCTTGCAGCAGAGACAGAACTGCAGAAGTTGGTTTGTTTGAGCATTTGAAACAGTTTTATGTTTGTTTTTTTTTGGGGTTTTTTTTAAAAGAGGTCATTAAAAGATGTTGGCTGAATATTGCACTTTGAGCCGGTACCTTTGTTTATATTACAGTTTTTTGTCTGGTCTTGTCACAGTAACGGCAGTACAGCTTATTCTGTAGGGGTTTTTCTATGCAGAGCCTTTTTTCCCATTAATCAGAATGAATCTATTTTGTGGTTTTGAACTGCTGCATACACCAATCAGGCATTACATTATGACCACCTCCAGATGGACTACAGGCTGTAATTTTAGAACTACAAAGTGCACCTATATAGTAAGTGGAGCTGATAAAATGGACGATGAGCGTAGAAACAAGGAGGTGGTCATAATGTTATGCCTGATCGGTGTATATTAATACTGTCTAAATAAAATTTTCCATATATACTTTTTCCATTGTCCGCATAATACGACACATTGTTTAATGGTGAAAATATATTCTTAATCTCCACATTGGTTTTTAATGTAACTTAAAGGTTGTGTAGAATAATTCATTTCGTTTATGAGTAGTAATGATATTGGGCTGATGATGGATGGGTAGAAAGAGGTTCCACTGAAAAAGAAGAGGCCTATTTGAGTAAAAATAATCAAATTAACATGAATTAGTTCATCTGTGGAACTGAATTTAGTTCAAAATGTTTAAAATGCATGAATGTGAACTAGTTCATTTTCATTAGTATGAACTGAACTTTGAACTTGCACAACACTGACCACCACATGATCTACATTTGCAGCTGGCTTCACTTCACCATTTTACACTGAAGCTAATGCAACCTCTTTAGCTCCAAAATGCACTTCGTCATATTCTTTACTTCACAGCTTTCATAGTTCATCAGCTATGTTCAAAAGGTGGGGGTCGTATGAGAGCTGTAACTGTCTTCTTTCCAGTCAAATAGATGGGTGATGTGATTTTAAAACTTTATAATAAAAAAAGCTGAACTCCATTTTTAGTTTTCTATAAACTGGATCTCAGACGGCGTCTTTTCAGTGATCTGCTCTGTAAAAATTACTTTTATAAAAAAATACAAAAGAGCATCTTTGTATTTTTGGCTTTCAGCAGTAAATTGTGAGTATATGGCATTATGTTTATGATCATTAAACACATTTTCTGTTAATTTGAGGGGAGCTTTTACAAAAAAAAAACAAAACACTTTTTATTTATTTCATGCGGTTACTGAATAATTTGCCTGAAGATTTGCAGAAGTAAATTCAGATGGAAAAAATGAAATATACCCTGGAGAATAACTGGTTAAAAAGCTTTAATGCCATTAATGCTAGTTTTTCCTAGTTTGACCCTTTGAACCTATGGAAGAATCTGCAATAGTAGCCCACAGCTTTAAATGGGTTTCAAAGCAACACCTTCAGCGCCATCACAGACTATGTTCAGCAATATTCATGGAAGACGTAGGAATAAATCAACAAGTAGCCCCAACTAAAAAATGCATGTGTGATTTATAGCCATTGGTTAGAAACATGTAAGCACTGTTGCACTCACTGGACACTGGCGATGAAAATCACGTTAAGGGGCCAGATTCATAAAAACTTCCTTAAGAAAAAACTTGAAGGTTCCTCAGACAAACAGTAAGAAGTTCACAGGAATGTTCTTAAACGCAATCCTAATAAAAAACTTGAGAAGTTCTCAAATATTCTTTAAAAATTTTCTTAAGTAAATCATGCATTATCATAAACGCTGCAAGATACATTTTGAATTTTTATTATCTGTTATTTACTTAAAAACATCAAACCAAGCTTTTAAAAAATTTTAGCAAACAAGAACTAGAGGTGATGGTGGAAGAAACGGCCAACAGGAAAAAATTCTTAGAAAACACGATGATTGTGTGACGGCGGAAAGCGAGAGACGAGGATGGGCGAGAGCAGCAGAGGCAGCGTCCATAAAAAATGAAGATGTTGACCTCATCAACTCTCACAGCCTGAGACGAGTATGAGGCTGTCGCAAAGTTACCAACACATTTAAGAACAATGTTTTCAAGAATAACACTTGGGCCCAATCCCATTTCAATAACCCCAACCTCTGAGCCCTTAGCCCGCTGTTTTGCGCGTTCACGTCTAGGGGTAGGGGTGTCCCGATTCTTGTTGAGATAGAGGGGGAGGGTGAAGTGTTGGGGCTACATGGCCCTCCAAACGGAGGTTTTTCAGAGACTCCAATCAGAGAGTTATGAGAAAAAAAGAAAAACCAGCAAGACGGCTGAACAAGAGACCAAAGAAACACACAAATGTGAGAATTTACTCTGTATTATCTTAGTTTAATGTCGTTTCAGTGTATTATGGTCATTTTCTTCATAACAAGCATATATAATCGCTAGTACTATGCTAATGTCTCGGTAGCTAGCTAGCTAACTTTCCCGTTCCACCTTAAATAGTCCAGCGGTTCTGATGCCTGAGGCGCTAGAATGTAACTGCTGCACCATTTAAGGTGGAACAGGAAAATTCGAAAGAGAAGCCAGTGAAAAAGAAATGAGTTCAGCTTCATATCACCAAAGAATTAGCGGTGGGTGATAAATAATTGCCCCCCTCTTTGAAGGCATATGATGCCCTAAATGTAACTAAAGCCCAGCAGTGAGGAGCCGAACTCTGCTATCACTGCAGACGGGCCGGGTCGCCTACAGAGCAGCGCTAGTAGCTGTTAATGAAGTTATGCTCTTTTTATTTGAGGGTCTCATTTCAAAGGGAAGATTTCAATCACTACCCCTTGTGACACAGCTCTGAGGGGCGAAGGTATCCGAAGGTGACACTTGAAAACAAGGGGTAGGGGTAAAAATAAGAAATGGGACTGGGCCTTAGTCTTTGAGTTAAGACAAAAAATTCTTCAGAAGTTATTTGAAGAATACCAACTTTTTCTTAAGAATGAAGGCAAGAAAAAAAAATTACATATAAGATTTTCTTTCTTAAAACACTTTCATGAATCCGGCCCCAGATACATGAGTTTGCATGATAAAAACAATGTTATTGAATTACTGAAAGTAATAAACGCTTTTTAATAAAGCTTATTGTGTCCACGCGAACAGCCGTAACAAAACGCACTGCTTTATAAATTTAAAAAATCTTATTTCGAGTAAAATTTGAGTAATTAAGACAGATGCTAATAATTGCAATTACTACATAAATAATGCAACTAATCATTATGGATTATTTTATATATAAACAAAACTTTTATATTTAAACAAAAAAATTACTTCACTTGTATATCAGAGCCACATAAACATCACCGGCTTCTTCCTTGTCCTAATACGTCTCTTGGCTTCTTCCCACAACCATGACAGGTCATCCAAGTGAGTCAGGGCTGAGGACTTAGTCACTCACACCGTATAGGAATTTCCTTTCAGCTTGTGCCAAACACCACCCAGCTTTAAATAATCTTAATCACTCTCATTTCACATCAGCATTTAGCTGCACCTGTGTCATGCTAATGGCTGGTGTGAGATGATACCACTCCCTCTCGTTGCTGTCCTGCATTAAAACGCTGCTCCAGCTGGCAAAGCATGGTACTGAATGGAGTAAATAAAGCTGATGGTAATGTTTGGCTAGATATAAGAGCCAACACTGAGTTTGAACTTCCTGCAAGATATTAAAGTTTTAACAAAGAAACTGTGCAAAACGCGGGAGGTCATTACTGAGGATTACAGTAAAACTTCCCTATGCTTGCAGAGTGAATAGAGGATTACCCTGCTCTCAGCTTGAGGAAGTCCTACTAATATGACCTTTTGGAGATATGGGAAACGTAGTATGAGTAATATCATTATTTGTAATACAGCATTCAGTAAATGAGATACAGATGAACGTGCTTTATCACATTTTCACCAGCTGACAAAAGATTTGTTTTCATTGATTTTTTTTTCCTGTTTACTTGTTTTGGGAGTGTTTTCCTACTTCAACCCCAATTCCAAAAAGGTTGTGACGCTGTGTAAAATGTAAATAAATGTAAATAAAAACAAATCTCATAGACCCATATTTTATTCACAATAGAACAGAGAGCACATATCAGACGTTAAAAGTGGGGCATTTTAACATTTCATGAAAAACATAACTCGTTTAGAACTTGATGGCAGCAACGCATCTCAAAAAAGCTGGGATAGAGGCAACAAAAGACTGGAAAGGTAAGTGGTACTAATAAAAAACAGCTGGAGGAGCAATTTGCAACTAACTCACATGACTGGGTATAAAAAGAGAGGCAGAGTCTCTCAGAAGTAAAGATGGCCAGAGGTTCACCAATCTGCAAAAAACTACGTCTAAAAATTGTGGAACAATTTCAGAAAAATGTTCCTCAAAGTAAACTTGCGAAGACTTTGGAACTCCCACCATCTACAGTACATAATATCATCAAAATCCCTGTACGCAAGGGACAAGGCTGGCGGTCAGTATTGGATGCTTGTGATCTTTGGGCCCTCAGGCGGCACTGCATTGAAAACAGGCATGATTCTGTACTGGAAATCACTGCATGGGCTCAAACATTTCCAGAAATCACTGTCTGTGAACACAGCACGCCGTGCAATGCACAAATGCAAGTTAAAGCTGAATCGTGCAAAGAAGAAGCCATATGTCAAGACAATCCGGAAACGCCGCTGTCTTCTCTGGGCCAAAGCTCATTTAAAATGGACTGAGTCAAAATGGAAAACTGTTCTGTGGTCAGATGAATCCAAATTTGAAATTGTTTTTGGAAACCATGGACGTCGTGTCCTGCGGACTCAAGAGGAGAGTGACCATCCAGCTTGTTATTAGCACAGTTCAAAAGCCTGCATCTCTGATGGTTTGGGGCTGCATTAGTGCCTATGGCGTGGGCAGCTTACATACCTGGAAAGGCTCTATCAATGCTGAACAGTATATAGAGGATTTAGAAAAACATATGCTCCCATCCAGACAGCGTCTCCTTCAGGGAAGGCCTTGCATGTTTCAGCAAGCCAATGCTAAACCACATACTGCAACCATCACAACAGCATGGCTTCGCAGAAGTAGAGTCCAGGTGCCGAACTGACCGGCCTGCAGTCCAGACCTTCCACCAATAGAAAACATTTGGCGCGACATGAAAGGAAAAATCCAGCAAAGATCCAGGACTGTTGCGCAACTAGAATCCTACATCAGACAAGAATGGGAAACATTCCTCTCCCAGAACTCCAGCAGTTGATCTCCTCACTTCCCAGACGTTTACAGACGGTTGTTAAAAGAAGGGATGCTACACGATGGTAGACACGGCCCTGTCCCAACTTTTTTGAGACGTGTTGTTGCCATCACGTTCTAAATGAGTTAATGTGTCTCACGAAGTGGTAAAATGTCTCACTTTCAACATCTGATGTGTTCTACAGGGAGATTCACTTGAAAGAGGCCCCGAATATTCTGCAATAACTCTCGCTAGGACGAAGCAATCTGAACGAAACAACATGCAACGAGCTCCTCGGCATATGGAGCTTCAAACAAGCCAGAATGCATCTGCGTCGGATCGACGTGGTAGGCGCCGGACAGCCGTTGCAACGTTTAATCTCTGTTTGCAACTGCCGGGTGCATACCCCTGTACCCCTACATGTATCTAGCAGAAAACGGATATCACTTCCAGCATCGCATGTAATGCAATCGATTACACAAACGTCAGGGTATGTAGTGAATTTGTTTGGTTCAGATTGATTCATCCTAACGGGAGGTACAACAGAATATTCGGGGCCTCTTTCGAGTGAATCTCCCTGTATGTTCAATTGTGAATAAAATATGGGTCTTTTTTATTTACAGAATTGTATTTACATTTTACACAGTGTCCCAACTTTTTTGGAATTGGGGTTGTACATGTACTTTGACTGGTGTCTCTCCCAAAAAGGAAGCATAAGTGAAAGCCTCCATTCACTTACTTCTTGAATCCAAAGTTCTTCCACAGGCCACTGATGGTGGACTGCAGTCCCGGGCTGTTCTCGTTTGTGACGGCTACCTTCTTCCCGAGTGCACCAGGCTTCTTTCTCAAACCGCTCGCCCTGGCCGGAGCAGAGGGTCTGATCTTACTACCTTTATCTTGCTCAGTGGGCCGCATCCGGGGCAGACCTGACACCTGAGGTGTGTTTGGGAGGGGAAGTTATAATGAAAGAGAAAGGAAACACTCGGTTAGATTAGGATTCTTATGTTGTCTTTTCACTGACACTATAGTGTGATGATGCACTGAGTCATTACACACTTTCATTTAATTTGGGGCTTTCCCACTTGCTCAGGCCTACAGGTCGTTTAGAGAGATGTGTACTAAGATACAGTTCAGTGATATTCCCCCTCCACCGCCACCCCACTCCCACAGCCAACGAAATACAGGAAATAAGCCTCAATCGACGTAACCATTTTGTCTGGCGTATGAAATAGCTCTGCGGTCACGGGTCATTTTGTCGTCAGCACTGCCTACCTTTGTCCTCATCGGTGTAGATTTTACCTCCTCGGTCAAAGGGGAGTTGCTGGGAGTCACTGAAGAATCAGAATCTTTCCAAGGGTCTTTGTCCTAAAAGACAAAACAAGGAGAAAAAGAAATAGAGATGACATAATAAAAAGGATAATATAGAATCAGAACTGTAAAATATTTGAACAGTTGTAGATAAAATGAAGAAAAAAAAATACTGAACAGTAAATTAGGATTTTCGTTAAATTAGCTTGTCTCTAACATTATATACCGATATTCTTCAGTGGTCAGGACCCCCATGGACCCTCACAGAGCAGAGGTACTATTTGGGTGGTGGATCATTCTCAGCACTGCAGTAACACTGATGTGGTGGTGGTGTGTGTTGTGCTGGTACGAGTGGATCAGACACAGCAGTGCTACTGGAGTTTTAAAACGCTGTGTCCACTCACTGTCCACTCTATTAGACACTCCTACCTTGTCAGTCCACCTTGTAGATCATCTGCTGCACTATATACTCTAATCTTACAGGGTTGCTGCACACAATCAATGTTTTTTAATACCTTCAGACCCATTTCCACAACGAAGCTATGCATATAAACTCAAACGACATGTATTAATGTCATTTTTTATTATTTTACTCCAGCTCTTAATCAGTGGTCAGTTTCTGACCACAAGACTGCTGTTGACTTGATATTTTTTGTGTTTGGGCTTTTCTGAATCAGTTTAATACACAGTGTCCCCTCACCTCACAGTGTCACTCTTCAGGCATTATCTTTGGATTTAGAGTAAATAAAACATTTTCAGACATTTTATGACCTTATAATGCTTTTAAAGATGCTATAAGACTTAAGAATGTGAACTCATGTGAATGTGTTATGTGAATATTAAATCTATTTAATGGAATAAAAATACAATGCGGCTAGGCTAACAAGGTTAGAGGTGAAAACAGATCATTAAAATATGTCTGTTTATCTTAAAGCCTTTGTTACCTTTCCGGATGTAAATTTAAAACCATCTACTGTGGATTTATTGTTTGGGTTTAATATAGTAGAGTAAAAAGTAAGTTGCTGTCTGGTTACTTTCTCCTGACATGTGCAGTAGCCTTAAGATTCCTATACTTTTTTTCCCTTAAAATAAAAATTGAATATAATTTTTCACCTTTTCAGGTGAGTCTTCAATGACCTGATGGCTGGATGGTGAATCCTCCAAGCTAGAGGGGCCGCTGCTGGGCTGAGAGAAGTATGCACTGTCCTGAGAAGGAGGAGAACCCGGAGGCGTTTCTACATCAATGGTGCCCTCTACAGGAGAGGAGGGGCAGGAGCGCTGAGGTGATTCTCCCCTAGAGATACTATCCTTTTTCCTCTGGAACTGGCGGAGGGCTAAAAGGCCTGAGGGAGCACTGGGTGTCCTAGACCGGTCTGTAGTGGCGGATGATGGTGCTGGCCCAGTTCTGGAACGTTCTGTAGAGCTGCTGGACCACTTGAATGCACTGAGGTTCACACTGGCACAACGAAGTGGAGGAGAGAGGGTGGGTGGTGAACTGGGGAGCTCAGCATGGTCGTCTGCTGTCACGCTCTCTGTGAGGTTGGCTCCGGCTACAGAAGACCCGTGGTCTGATTTTGGAGAATCGGATGACTCCTCCTTCACAGAGGACTTTTGCTCCGGACACTCAGCTTTGGAGAGGTCCCTGCCGGCAAAAAATCTGAAGGAGATACCAGTCAGAATACTCAATTAATACGCTAATCTTCAGATTAAGAAGTGTCTGCCAAAAAAAAAAAAAAAAAAACCCACAGAAAAAGCCCTCAGCCCACACAACAGCTATTCTGATCACGCTCTGTGATTTCCCCCAAACGTGTCACATAAATGTCATTGCAACACGTTACAGAATCACTGATCGTATCGCTCGTGGCACATTCAAACAAACAGAGTTTTACAGGAAGCAGTTATCTCCATTGTGCATTATACTGTAGAACTATACGCCAAATTGTACCCTTTAGTTCTGTGATAAAATGCTACCTGCTCAGTGTTCCCTGCTCTCCGTCGTTTTCGTCTGATTGGTTCCTCCACTGCAGTAGTGTGGCAAAACGGTTACGAGGTCGAGGTCGACTGGTCTCCTGGGAAGTGCTGCGCCCCGCTTCCATGGTGGCTGGAGTTAGATGGGGAGGCGTTTCTTTGCAGTGTCTCTTTGGGCCGGTTGAGTACTGCTCCAACATGTCTTCCTCTGAGACACCTGAGTCTAACATTGGGCAGGAACATAAATGCTAGCTAAATGTTAGGAAAGCTGGCAGATACAGTGTCTGATTACAAATGTAATTACATTCATGTTATTACCCTTGTGTAACTACATGAAAGAGAATAGGCTGTTACAACTATTAGGATACACTTAAGCTGTACTTCTGTAATCCATCTGTAACAGTGACTAAATCGTTAGTAGTTACATTGTTGTTCACATGTAACTACACAGTTATTAGAGACAATATAACCAAACAAAAGTGGGACCAAACTTTTTCATTTAATTTTATTTAAATTCATTTGACTGTATAAAACAGGGTTTTTTTCCCTTCATTTTAAAAGTTTTCCTTAAGATTTTTTTTTCTTTCTGGGGAAAAAGAAAGACTTTTCTTTTTCCTAATAAACAAAAGCCAATGACACAACTTCGATATTTTAGCCAGGACTTCAGCAGTTCCAACTTACACACAATATTTGGCAGTTCATTAGATCTGGAATATGAATTTGACAGCATCGAAATTCTAATTACAATGATCTTTTATCTATTTTTAGCTAACAGCTAACTGCGCAGTCCTAACTTTAACTTAGCTATGCTAGAGACCTTATAACTGCAGAACATAGCGGTGCTGTCACCAGCATATTTTAGTATACCGCACCATGACTGGTTCAAGCTTATTTGTGACACAAAAAAGCTGCTATTTGGCAAATAGCTTTTTTAAAGCGGCTATGAGAAAGACTGAGTTTTGACCTGTGTCACATATTTTTGTAATTTTTTAATTTTATTTACTATTTCCGGTCTGAGCAGTAAAGCAACAAAACCTATGTATCTCATTTGTTCAGAGTCTGAATCACTTGAGATTAGGCTACTGAAAAATTCAGTTCTGAGGACTGGAGAGCAGTTGACTATTTAAAAAAACACATTTTTGACAGCAGTCTTTAAACTCAAATCACCATTAGCGTACGATTTCTCTCTTGGCCTGAATGCTGACTCATCTTAGTAAGATCGGCCTTGCTTACCTTCGCGGGGTCTCTTGACCTGTGCCTCTCTGCTGGGGAGTTTCAGAGCCTGGAAGGCGACGAGTCTCTCTTTCCCCCTGGTGGGAGAGGGTCTATGAGAGGAGGATGAGGTCTGAGGCTTGGAGGAACCTGCCACATAACCCCTTCTCCAGATGCTGCCATGGGCTAGGCTCTGAACGTCACAACTGTCGTTCCAACCTCGACTGCGAGGGGCTTTGACAGGCTGAGAAAAATAAATAACAGTGCACAGTGTAACAGGTCCAATGGAGAAAATCACAGTGGGTGTGGCAGTGATTACACCTTAATTATAGGAGGAAACTTACATGGGAATAAATATAAATGAAGAAAAAAGGTATACAAATATGTACCTGTGCTGGAGGGGCATCAGGGTCAAAATCATCAATTCTCTTCATAGTGTTAATATCCACGTTTCCAAGAGCCATTTGCAGACCTTGCTTATCCCCTACATTTCTACAGTCGTGCAAATTAAGGAACATTTTCAACAGATGGCCAGAAAGGACAGAGAAAGGGTTTCTCCTCATTCACTAACTCATTCAAATCCACAGACCCGGGCGCACATTCTCCAGTTCAGGGAGGCACCTTGCAGACTCCTACAGACATAATTGTACCTATCTTAAGTCACCTATAATACCTGAAATATCTGAGATTATTGGGAAGAAATTTATTAGAGAGCTGGACAACCCCTTTCAAACTGAAAGACACAATATAATGAAAACTCTTCTGATGTAAAAGATACACGCCTGCGTAGCTGAGGGTGGCTGGGTCGATGTGCTCAGGGTATGGGTTCAGGGGCACCACTTTCCTATTGATGGGGTCAAACACGAGCTGGTACAGGAACGTGTTGTTGGCCTTCACAAAGCCCTCGACGTACTCATCAGGGCACGGTGATGTTCATCTTCAGATACTGGCCAATCTTCTTGATCACCTGTGCAAAATAACATGAGCTTTTAAGTCATTTTCTAAATGAAAAGAATAAAATGCAGACGCAGCCGTAAAGAAACTCTCACAATCACCTAGAAACGTAAGAAAGAGAGAGAGCTTTACGTTGGGGATGCACAGTATTATCGGAATCATACTGGTTTTGTCTCCCAAAAAATTTGTAAGCCACCCCAAACTGAAACCATTCAAAATATTACACTGCTTTGTTTACATAACATTTCTCTCTTAATTGTTTGAATTACCATAGTAAGGATTGCTAAAAACGACAAATATCAGATTATACAGAGTACATGCGCTACACTCAGACATACGATGCATACAAACACATCTATGGTCTATAAATACATTTTAAAATGTATGCATCATCATCAGAATTGACAGATATGAGTACACCAGAACGTGTCATCCCCACTTTGTGTTTCTCCACTGAAGAACAGGCATACGAGACATTACAAACGTCCATGTTTAAGTAGGTGAAACACTGAGGTAACCGTGCGCTGCTCAATCAAATACACTTCACAGTAGGACAAAAATAAGGGTCTTCTTACTGCAATTAGTGGCCAAATTAACACTTTCAACCAAAAAAATAAAATAAACAGAAAAAAGGACTGAACAAGTCACGCTGCTTCCGATTAAGGTTAAATGGGTCTACAACAAAGAGGCAGACACCGTCTCTTTTGCTATCCTTCAGATACATTATATAGACAAGATTACGGGTGTCAAACTCGACCACTAAAAGAGCCATATTAAAAAATCTCAACAGATCTGTGGACCAGCTGTGTTTTTATTTTATTTTTATATTTTGCCGTGACCCAAACTGGCCATAGTCTATTCAAAATATGCCAAAACTACAACAAAAAAAGGAACAAAACAAACTGTTTTATACAAAACAATAGACTATATTAGCTGCAGATACCTGTTAACCTTTCTAAATGTCCCCAGTGTACAGTAGGTTTTTAAAACTGCCCATTTGCTTGAACCAGACACCTGGTATCTTTGTTTGTTTGTTTGTTTTTGTGGTGCAGGGAGGAGCTGGGAGCAGATATTACGTTGCAATGCAAGCTGGGAACTGTAGTGCAGTTCATAACTAATATTAACAGAAAATTAAAATAATTTTGCGGGCCAAATAGGACTGTGCCAGGGGCCTGACTTGGCCTTGTGTTTGACACATGGGGTCTAGATGAAAGCAAAGTAACTTAATATAATTTATGTAAACTAAAAACCACCACAACACCGAACAAAACATCTATGGATTTATGTTTTGGTCAAGAATATTCATGAATAGCATTTCAGTGCATTATAAAAACCCTGTGGTTGTACCTTGAGTATGTCTGGGTTGTTGGCCATTCTCAGCAGCTTGCAGGCCTTGCCCAGGCCGATGCCGTAGAGCGAGGCCAGGTAGTCACAGCCGGACAGGATGCACATGTAGCGGAACTTCTCCTCCGTGAAGACGTCGCCCAGTGACCGGCAGCGGCCCAGGTGGCACTGGTCAATCTCCAGGCCATTCCCCTGCTTGTCCATCTTCAATATCACCTGCAGATAGACACATCTCTCTGAGTGGGTTCGTCTCTCACATGCCAGCAATTGCAATTTCTAAAGCTGGACACTTTGAGCCCTTAGTAGCAATTTAACGTTACTAAATTGGCAGTCGCTAAAGTAACTTAGGTTTATTATGAAATAATGGTATATATTTCGTATTGCGATCACTTTAATACATACAGAACAGACAGAACCTCTCTCTTTGCAATGTTTGCTTACTTATCTCTGGTGTTAACCATATAATCTGGTAATCTGTATGAAAATTAAACCTGATTTGTAGATTTTTATTTAGTTTTTGCCAATAATCTTATTTCGAGGACCTCATTTATGCAGCTGAATGATGGTGCCACTGAGCAGACCAGACAAGCTGATTCAGGGTTTGGTCACGTTAGAGCGCTTATAGAGCCGTGTGGGGTTAATAGCTTTGCTCCAGAATACAACAGCAGCTGAGTCGGGCCGAAGATGGTGAAGTACAGCTTGCAACAACCCCCTGAACATCCTGTGTTGTGTCCAGAATAGCACAGCAATGCAAAATATCCTAAAAGAAGCAGCATTGGCCTGCGTTGTCTGAAGGCTGTGGGCTGGTGGCGGCTGCTGTAAAACAGCAGTGCTGCTGGAGTTTTTAAACACCTCAGTGTCGCTGCTGGACTGAGAATAGTCCACCAACCAAAAATATCCAGCCAACAGCGTCCTGTGACCACTGATGAAGGACTAGAGGATGACCAACACAAACTGTGCAGCAGCAGATGAGCTATCGTCTCTGACTTCACATCTACAAGGTGGACTGACAAGGTAGGAGTGTCTAATAGAGTGGACAGTGAGTGGACACAGTGTTTAAAAACTCCAGCAGCACTGCTGTGTCTGATCCACTCGTACCAGCACAACACACACTGACATACCACCACCACGCCAATGTTACTGCAGTGAACACAATGTTTATTCAATATTTATATTTCACCTACTATGTTGCACTAATTCCAGTTAAACGGGACTAATAATATTATTATTAATAATAACACAATTGGTCAGTGTTCTACTATGCATGATGTGTTCAGAAAAGCATATTGTACTGTGACAAAATTTCACGATAATGATATATATAGTCATATTGCCCACTCCTAATTACAAAACATATTTTTCAATTAGTAGGCAAACTGGGTTTTAGCAGACAGTGAAATAAAAACGGTAAAAAAAAAAAGTGTATTATATTTAAATATATATATAAAATGTGGAACTGCCACCTTAAAAATTACCCCTTCGGGCCTTGCTGGATTTTCTGGATGCCGTGTAGGAACAGTTCTTGCTATGGTTTGTATTAAACAAATAAAAGATTACTTGCTTTAACTAATGGTTAACCAGGTTTCTACTGATCGCTGCAGGCCTCAATGAGAACCGCTTGCACTTCATCGCCTGCCGCAGCACTGAGGACCAAATGTTAACAAATCTAACAACGTTAAATTTTCTTAAACACCACTCCATTACCTTTTTGCAGCCAAATGCCAGCAGGTCAGAGTCCTCAGTGATGACGGCCTGAGCGATTCCACTTTTGTTCAGGAAGGCCAGCTGAGCATCTGCTTCATACGGGGCCACCACACAGTCCACTCCACGTGTCCTGGCAGCCTAAAGACAGAGATAATGTTGACAAACAGCAGACAACACTAATGCCCAGCTTGACTGACAATGAGTAATGAATACTGTGTAAGTTCAAATAATGCAGAATTTGCATTCAATGGCCGTTTATCATTACAAGAAACAACGCTTTTTTGGATTTGCATAAATACAGTTTATGCAAACCAGAAAAAGCATTGTTTCTTGTAATGAACACAAGTAATTAACGCTCTACTGCATGTATTATGAGTGCAATTTTAAAAAAATGAATCCGATTCACTTTTTTGCATAAAATTGACCCTTGAATTTTTCAAATAATACTGTGCGCAGAAGTCCTGTTGGGGTATGTTGCCTTGAGGTAGCATTGTGCGACAATGGGATGAAATTATACAGATCCATGTTCCCTGAAGTGGTGAGGTCGGGCTTGTGACTGGCTAAATCCATTCCACTGTCGCACAATGTTGCTTCTAGGCAACAAACATATTTCTACAAATTCACATAACTGAAAAATGATACTGAACGTTAAAAAAAAAGAGGTTTAAATGTGCCCACCAAGAGAGAGTGTGACCAAATACATGCTTTTTTACTGACTTACTCAAACTCCGCCCTTTATTGTTAACCCTCTCAGTGTCCTTAATTGTGTTCAATGTTATTGTAAAGTGAGGAGTATGTTTGTTGCCCTGAGGCAACATCGTGCAATAGAGGGTTAAAAAAACTACTCTTTTTTTGACAAATTATTATTACCCTTCATCATCCACATTACCTAAAACTCTGTTACATCATAAGACGAGGTTATGAGAGTTAACACACTGACGAGAGTGTCAGACCTTAATAAACAAATAAATAAAATTCACATCATTTTCCTTTCACCCCAAATTAGATGTGTTTGGTGTCGAGTTCTGGCTTCTTTAGTTTTGCACTGAAGCTATAGGGGTAATGTAGTTGGAATGCAAGTCTATACCACCCAAAATCTTTTTAGTCTTGTAGCTCAAGTGCAAAGTATTATTTTATTTGAACTTGAGAGGCAATTCCTAACTGAGCGCATAAATATATGACCCACACATATAAACTCAGTAAGCACATGACATAACAATTATTGTGGGACAGACCAACATCTAGGTCAGTGACAACCACGGCCCAAGGGCAACAGCTCAAAGGCAGAGAGGAAAACTTTAATGGGTCATTAAAGATGAATTGATAGAATGTCCTAATTTTAATGTCTGTCTTTTATGTAATAAAGCCAGTAGCTTCAGTGGGAGACCAAATATTCTGGAGCAAACAGATATTACGCTCTGTAGACTTGGACTAAAGAAAGGACACAAAATACATGATCTTATAGAAAAAGGTTTTACTTCTGTTGATGTTTGTCAATTTTAAGGGTTGCAACTTAGAAAAATCCACAGATTTATACCACATTGGGGGTAAAAGGAAACGTGTACATTTTTCAGGGAACTGTTCCTACCTTAATGACTTCATGCGCCATAGAGGGAGTGACATTAACACAGCGAGTGAAGCAGTCTCTGGCCTCAGCCAGCTTCCCCTCCCGCAGCAGCTGTTTCCCTTTCTGCAGGTTAGCCTCACGCCGTCTGACAATTATGAGGAAAAATTTAAATATGACATTAACCAGAATTGGACATTCTCATTTCACTTATTCAACATGAGTGACAAAAAAATGGCCTGGCGCTTCTCAGTGACCACAAAACAGAATTCAGAGGACTCACTCTCGTCGTGCCTTCTCCACTTCCCGCTTTGAAGGAAGGTTTCGTCCATCAAACACCAAGATGGGCTTGACGCCAAAAGACAGGAGCATGTCCACGAACTTCATACAGTAGGAGACATATCTAAACACAAAGAGAACAAAACATCACTACAGTGTATGGCAATACAGTTACAGACTGTAGTCCATCTGTTTCTCTGCATACTTTGTTAGCCCCCTTTCACCCTGTTCTTCAATGGTCAGGACCCCCATGGACCCTCACAGAGCAGGTACTATTTGGGTGGTGGATCATTCTCAGCACTGCAGTAACACTGACGTGGTGGTCCTGTGTTAGTGTGTGTTGCGCTGGTGCGAGTGGATCAGACACAGCAGTGCTGCTGGAGTTTTTAAACACTGTGTCCACTCACTGTCCACTCTATTACACACTCCTATCTTGTCAGTCCACCTTGTAGATGTAAAGTCTGAGACGATAGCTCATCTGCTGCTGCACAGTTTGTGTTGGTCATCCTCTAGTCCTTCATCAGTGGTCACAGGACGCTGCCCACAGGACGCTGTTGGCTGGATATTTTTGGTTGGTGGACTATTCTCAGTCCAGCAGTGACACTGAGGTGTTAAAAAACTCCAGCAGCACTGCTGTGTCTGATCCACTCAGACCAGCACAACACACACTAACACACCACCACCACCACATCAGTGTTACTGCAGTGCTGAGAATGATCCACCACGCAAATAGTACCTGCTCTGTGGTGGTCCTGGGGGTTCCTGACCATTGAGGAACAGGGTGAAACAAAGTATGCAGACCACAATCCGTAATTGTAGAACTACAAAGTGCACCTATATCACAAGTGGAGCTGCTAAAATGGACAGTGAGCTTAGAAACAAGGAGGTGGTTTTAGGTTAATGTTATGGCAGTTAAAAGAACTGAGCACCTCATATAAATCTACCCAAATACATTTATAAAATATACATTTTGCAATAAGTTAAAGCTCCTATAAGACACACATTCACTGTAGCGGCTTGTATAGTGCCTATCACAAGTGGGTGTCCTGTGTATTACAATATAAAACACAAAACTTTTGCAAACTCACTGATCAGTTGGCTCCCCTTTGGCCAGCTTCTCCGCACAGGAAAACGCTCCTTTGTGCAGCCAGCAGTAAGTGTCCACTGCCACGGTCTGTCCCCTGTACTGCCTCACATGGACGGGCTCTGCTGCGTCTTTAATGAACTGTAAAAGTCCCTGAATCCCCATTTTACCTGTCTTTTAGGGAACGACTGCTTAGAGGCGGCGAGTTACCTGCTGTCCTGCTGAATGTGTCGCCTCAGGAGTCAAGAGGAAGTTAAGCTACAGAACGCAGTTTTAAAACACCCCTTCAAACATCAACCGAGGCTTAAAACCGGTTCGGCGGTGGTTCCCTGACCGTACAGAGGTCCAGTCACTTCATCATCCTCTCACATTCCTTGCAATAAAGCAGTCGCCGCCAAAACTGGCTAACCTAACTAGCTAACAAGCTAGCTTAACTAAGACAACACGACGATTATCGCGTTCGAGCCGCCAGCAAAGCACAGCATTAGCTCATATTAACGTTCCCCACAAATCAGCTATTCTATTTCAACCGTTTCCATAAATAATAGTCTGTTATATTTCAAATTTGCTGGACTTCTTAACCGCCTTCGCTGCCCAGCAACAACTCCACCGAGATGCGGCTACTACAGCACAAGAATTCGCTTTTAGCGGTAAAGCGTGACGTCACTGGGCAAAACGCACACCATTGGTCGGGCTGTTTCAGGCAGCCAATCACAGAGCAAGAAGCCCCGGCACAAGTGAACTAACGCCACTGGGCAAATCCGTTCCGCGCAGTGCTCGTCATTAAAATGAATCCTTAAAGGGGAGCTCCACCTAATTTTCAAAATTTCCAAATAATTTGGTCCAGGGGTCTTTAATTAAAATTCAATAAGGTCCAGTTAGAGAAAATATCCTCAAGCAAAGGTCCGGAACATCATAATGTCTAACCTGCATCATGATTCAGTGCTATATACAGCAAACTGAAGTAGCCTAGTAGGTATATCAACATCTTATACAGTCAATAACTGAATGTCAAATTAAATAAAGTACAATTCAGTAACATTTCAACAATGTTTATTTTTTAGAGCACGAAATAACTTGAAATAACTTCCCTCTGACTCTCTTCTCAGAAAGTTTCTCGCCTCGTCCCTCCCCTGTGTGTGCGTCTCTCACTCGAGTCTCAGTGCTCAGCGTAATGCACAGATCTGATTGGCTGAGTAGCGTCACGTGTGATATTTACGATGCATGCGATTGGTCTGTGAGTGTCCCGGGCCGCTAAAGCTACCTTAAGGCTAGAAATGATACGCCGATTAAAATAGGACCACCCCGTCGAAATCAAATAATTATCCATAATTTATCGGTTATAGGTCCAGGTCCGCATAGGACAGCGTCTGGGTCCAGACTCGGACCGCAGTCCGCCTATTAGTGACCTCTGATCTTGTCCTTGTAAACGGGCGTCGTTCAGAGTGCTCTGATGTGAAATAGTACGTTGCAGAGAAACTTATAGACTCTTTACAGTGGTGGTGATAGGAACCAGGGGTCATGATGTCTACAACACAAATATAGCCATTTTATTTACTATCCAAAACCAACAGTGAACCTACACTCTCAGAAAAGATGGTTCTCCAAGGGTTCTTTAGTAAAGACAGTGCTTCTATATAGAACTACAAACACTCAAATAACCATTGGCATGCTTAAATGGTTCTTTGCATGGTGAAATCGTTCTTCAGCTTGATGGAGAACGTGTTGTATATGGTCCTATGTAGAATCTTTCTGTAAGCGTTCTATACAGCACCAAGAAGGGTTCCTCTACTGTTACAAGCTCGACGTCGTAACAATAGAAGAACCCATTTTGGTACCTTCTGACAAGGCTGAAGCTTCTTTTTTGGATTTTAAGTTCCACCTTAAACGGTGCAGCAGTTACATTCTGCCACAGTTAGGCACTAGAATGTAACTGGGTGCAGCGTTTAAGGTGGAATGGAAAATTCGTTGGCACCAGAATGGAGATGCTTTACTGTTTAAGGTGGGATGGAAAATTTGAAAAAGGCAGTTCTAGATTTAAAACAGCCAATTGAAGCTTCTAATGACAGTACACGTTGTACAACCCCAATTCCAAAAAAGCTGAGACGCTGTATAAATTGTAAATAAATGTAAATAAAAACAGAATGCAGTGATTTGCAAATCTCATAGACCCGCATTTTATTCAGAATAGAGCATAGAACACATATCTGATGTTGAAAAGTGAGACATTTTACCATTTCATGAAAAATATTAACTCATTTAGAAATCGATGGCAGCATTCCTGTGTGATATAGGGTTCTAGCTGCTCGACAGTCCTGGGTCTTCTTTCGCTGGACTGCAGGCCGGCCAGTTCAGCACCCAGACTCTTCTTCTGCGGAGCCATGCTGTTGTGACAGATGCAGTATGTGGTTTAGCGTTGTCTTGATAAGTCGGACTAGTCAGCCAACACAGACATCCTGTACGTGAAGGGGAAGATCCGGCTCCATTTCCTGAGGAGGCTGGGGTCCTTTAACATCTGTAGGAAGCTCCTGCAGATGTTCTATCGGACCGTGGTTGCCAGCTGTCTTTTTTATGCTGTGGTGTGTTGGGGAGGAAGCATGAAAAAGAGAGACAAGATAAGACTGAACAAGCTGGTCAGGCGTGCGGGGTCAGCGGTCGGTGTGGAACTGGACTCTGTGGTTAAGGTGGCCGAGAGAAGGACTCTGCACAAACTGCTCTCCGTTATGGATGATGATGGCAACACACTGCACACCATCATCATGGACAGGAGGAGCATGTTTAGTGGCAGGTTGCTGTCACAGAGCTGCTCAACCGACAGACTCAGGAGATCCTTTGTCCCTCGAAAAAAAAGCTTTGTAAGGCAGAATGTTTAAGACATTATGTTGATTCAAAAGTAAAATTACACAGATGATTTATTAGTATATTGCTAACATTTTCACAACCATTTAACATTAAAAGTTTTTTTCAACATTTTTTCCAACATTGAAACGACAACTGACACTATTTCAACCACATTTCAACGCTGAAGATTGGTCATTTGCCAGCTGGGCAAGTACCAGTAAACTCCTCTTCAGGATAACAAACCCAGGATATTAAAAACTCACTCATAACAGCAAAATTACTTCTCATAAAAGCCTGTCTAAGAATAACAGCTACAGCAGAGGCAAACAACATTACACTTTATCTTTGGTAATATGCAGTAAAACTCTTGGTGATCTTGCTAAATGATTTAGGGGAAGATTTATTTTCTCTAATGTCTTCTCAGGCCTCCTAAAATCCAGCACTTATTATGAGATTGTACTGAATAAAAAAAGAAAAGGGTGATACATTAGGCTGAGGTCAGTCTCTGAGTCTGTGTAATGCTTATCGCCTCTCTCATAGGCAGGGCTAGATTTGAGGAGGGATGTGAGGGGATGCCGCCCCACCCCTGGTCAAAAAAAATGACAAAAATCATTCTCCTTGTAAAACGATCACCTCTCCATTCCATCCTCTTTGGATTAATGTGATATCACTGTAGATGTCTGTTATCGTTATTTGTTTGCCATCCATATGTGAGATTTACACACTACAGGATGTCGAGGATGTGTCCAGAACACAGCACAGTGGACGTCCAACCAGAATAAAGGATTCTTCTTGGAAGAATTTCTCCACAACTCTCACAGTATAATAACATCAACTGATGTCTACACAGTGATCAAATAATGGATATGTGAAAATAACAATCACCAAAAAAGCCATGTTATCTGAAGATGTTGAAACAGCTTAATAGGTAAAAAATGGCTGGCGAATAAACACGTACACGTGCCAGCAGGGGGGTGTGCAGCATAGTCATGGTCTGTTATGCTACTAGACATCTTCCATGACCAGCAGCTCCAGTGAATGCTAATCTACTCCCCACTGAGCATTGCTCTTGCAAAGAAGGCAGTTTTGAGGGGGAACATGAAAACTGTTCCACTGAAAGCAGCTGCGAACAGCACCAACTTTAAAAGTGCGAAAGGCCCTCAGTACAACTCCAGTCAGCAGCAGCGAGTGCTGACACATTTCACACGTTACTTCCCCTCCATATGACAAAGCTGAAATAAGTACCCCGTTATTTCAAGATAACAATTTTGTTATCTTGAGATAACAAGACAAGTAACTCGTTATTTCAAGATAACAATTTTGTTAACATGAGATAACAAGACAAGTAACTCGTTATTTCAAGATAACAATTTTGTTATCTCAAAATAACAAGATAAATAACTAGTTATCACAAGATAACAAATTTGTTATTTTGAGATCACAAGATAATTAGCTCGTTATCTTAAGATAACAACTTCTCGAGATAACAAGTAACTTGTTATTTCAAGGTAACAATTTTGTTATCTTGAGATAAAAAGACAAGTAACATTATTTCAAGATAACAGTTTTGTTAACTTGAGATAACAAGACAAGTAACTCGTTATCACAAGATAACAACTTTGTTATCTTGAGATCACAAGATACTTAGCGTGTTATCTTAAGATAACAACTTTTGTTATCCCAAGATGACAAATAATTGTTATTTCAAGGCAACAATTTTATTATCTTGGGATAACAAGACAAGTAACTCGTTATTTCATTATAACAATGTTGTTTTCTCAAACTAGCAAGATTAATAACTCGTTATCGACATTGTTAACAACATTGTTATCTTTAGATCACAAGATAATTAGCTCATTATCTTAAGATAACATCTCGATATAACGAGTAACTTGTTATTTTAAGGTAACAATTTTGTTATCTTGAGATAACAAAATAATGAACTCATTATCTCAAATAACAATCCAGAAAATTATATCTACCTCATGGCCTCTCTGGACTTCTGTAGAAAACTGTTTTTTTTTTTAAATAAAAGAGTTTGGTGTAGCATTGTAAACATTTCTAAACATACTATTCATTCCCCGTTTCATATGGCCCATATATGCAAACTAAGCTGCAAAAACAGCCTGTTTTGAATTCACTCTTTTTGTGATGTCACAAAAACCATCACATTCATGAAGATCCACCTATTCAACCTACAGCAGTTTAGCTCCACTCATTCCTGCTGAAGTTCTAATGAGTGTTTCAACCCAGGCTGATTTTTAAACAGGGCACAGTATAAGGCAGCCAATCAAAACAGAGGTCATTTACATATATATTAGTCATACAGCAACATTATGTAACAATTTTGCCTTAAAATAACAAGGTCCTTTTGATGGTACCCTGATGTGTAATAGGGACAATGGCGTCTCTGTCATTGCCACTCCGGGCCCAGAAAACTTCCTTTAGCGCTATGTAACTTTATAGGGGCGGGTTAGAGACCCCTCACAAGAACTGCATAACGCTTTACGACACCACGCCATGCAGCAGCTTGGTATTCCCAGCATGGACAACATGGCAAGGCTGTTAGGAGACCAAACAAGATGCCTGAGGAAGAGAAAAAGTGAGAGTGACTGGACACAATCCGACAGCAGTGTACATCCCTGCCAGTTAAGCAGTAGAACACGAGAGGGAGTGTGTTATCACAAAATAACATCACGGCTGTGATTTGGTCACTGTAGATCATCACAGCTGTGATGTTATTGGCGGTAACACACTCCTCGAGTGCTCTATTGCTTTTATACAACAGTTAAATAAATAAAGTAATAAATTAATAAACTGGGCTGTGAACGCGGGCGTTTAATATGTTTTAATGTTCGCAGTTCCTTCACCAAATTATAGTTCCTTAACGAGCAGCTCGTTGCTACGTCAGAGTAACGAGCTCCGCCCACTCACTGCACAGCCGGCAGTTCGTTCTCCAGCTCCTTACACTGAATTCCCAAACTGTCACCACTGAGCAGCTTTTTTGTTTTTACTGCGGCAGTTTTATGGCTCAGTCCGATTTGGTCTGACTCTGAAGATCAGACTACACGTTTGGCGAATGGTATTGGGTTCATTTCTGGCTGATTCCAGGTTGTTTAGATGTTCTTCTGTCACAGCTGCCCTCTGAAAAGCTGCTCAGTGGAACTAACTGTTGTATAATATTCTTTTATGGAACATTGCAATGTAGGCTGTAACCTTATTTGTGTATAATAATAAAAATTCGATCTGTGTACTCTTTTACTTATATCTGCTCTGTACTGTCACAGCTGAACAAAATCATAGTGTAACCACACAGCGATTATGTAGTAATAACATGGAATAATATTTGAAATCCATATAAAGTATACAGCCAGCTAAAGTGTGTAAATGTTTGGGTCAGATTTCTTTTCACATTTATAGCCAGGCAACACCTCCTGTCCTCAAAGGCAGATGCAGTGATGTGTGAAATGAGTCTCTTTGAACAAACACTTGAATACACCGGTGGTTTACTGTATATTTCCTTGGAACCTATCATTCAGCTCACCAAGGGTTTTATAGTGATGACCTAGTTCAGACATATTGAGTAAAAAAAGACCATGAAGACTTTTAACTTGTTTCTATTCTGCTGGTAACTGAATAGAGCTGAACCATTGTGTTGTAGCTGCTGTGTTTCGATTGTCTTTCAATGTATGTCTGAAATGTACATTTCTTTTTACTCTGTAATGGTTTTTATACAACAGTTAGTTCCGGCCAGGCAAGCTGATTGGTTGAGAAGCTGTCATTTCACCATAACAGCACGTTTTTTTACAAACACTGCATCACTCCACTGAGATGCCGTTGCTAAGCAACAACTTTGACAGCTGTAGGAGACGCTCAAGCCATTTGAACGTTTTTACTTCTTACTTTGCCACAAACAGAAAATGGACACCTTTAAGATCACATTTGACCGACAGCCAATTTGGTCAGATTCTGAAGATGAGACGACACTAAATTCCCAAACTGTCATCACCACTGAGCAGCTTTTCAGTCGGCAGCTGTGACAGAAGAACAGCTGAACAACCTGGAATCAGCCAGAAATGAACCCAACACCATTCGCCAAACTAAATGGGCTGTAAGATGCTTTACAGACTGGCTGGAACAAAACAACATTAATACTGATCTGGCAAAAACTGACAAAACTGAGCTGAACTTGATATTGCATCAGTTTTATGGCTCAGTCCGATTTGGTCAGACTCTTAAGATCAGACTACATGTTTGGCGAATGGTATTGGGTTCATTTCTGGCTGATTCCAGGTTGTTTAGGTTCTTCTGTCACAGCTGCCGACTGAAAAGCTGCTCAGTGGTGATGACAGTTTGGGAATTCAGTGTAAGGAGCTGGAGAATGAACTGCCGGCTGTGCAGCGAGTGGGCGGAGCTCGTTACTCTGACGTAGCAACAAGCTGCTTGTTAAGGAACAATAATTTGGTGAAGGAACTGCGAACATTAAAACATATTGAACGCCGCGTTCACGGCCCAGTTTATTAATTTATTACTTTATTTATTTAACTGTTGTATAAAAACAAAAAAACACGGGAGGAGTGTCTTATCACAAAATAGTTCACAGCCATGTTGTTATTTTGCAATAACACACTCCCTCTCGTGTTCTATTGCTCAAATAAAAATAAAGGTAGAAATAAAATGTAGCTGCATTATCGTAAACAAAAACAAACAGAAGTAAAATTTATTCTACTCAAAAAAACGTACCAAAAATGTACTGAAATACTATAATGAGTGAATGTTATTCATTACTTTGCACCTCTGGTGGTAGGTTTTAATCTTAATTGTATCATATCATAATTTAATAACTTACTAATTTAATAACAAAACATATGTTTAAACATTTCAGTACTCCCAAGAACGGAGTCCTGTGTCAGACACCCCTTGTATAACCATAACCAGTCAAACCACCTCCTAGTTTCTACGCTCACTGTCCATTTTATCAGCTCCACTTACTATATAGGTGCACTTTGTAGTTCTACAGTTACAGACTGTAGTCCATCTGTTTCTCTGATACTTTGTTAGCCCCCTTTTACCCTGTTCTTCAGTGGTCAGGACCCCCATGGACCCTCACAGAGCAGGTACTATTTGGGTGGTGGATCATTCTCAGCACTGCAGTAACACTGACGTGGTGGTGGTGTGTTAGTGTGTGTTGTGCTGGTGCGAGTGGATCAGACACAGCAGTGCTGCTGGAGTTTTTAAACACCTCAGTGTCGCTGCTGGACTGAGAATAGTCCACCAACCAAAAATATCCTGCCAACAGCGTCCTGTGACCACTGATGAAGGACTAGAGGATGACCAACACAAACTGTGCAGCAGCAGAAGATGAGCTATCGTCTCTGACTTTACATCTACAAAGTGGACCGACAAGGTAGGAGTGTCTAATAGAGTGGACAGTGAGTGGACACAGTGTTTAAAAACTCCAGCAGCACTGCTGTGTCTGATCCACTCGTATCAGCACAACACACACCAACACACCACCATCACGTCAGTGTCACTGCAGTGCTGAGAATGATCCACCACCCAAATAATACCTGCTCTGTGAGGGTCCATGGGGGTCCTGAAGAACAGGGTAAAAGGGGGCTAACAAAGTATGCAGAGAAACAGATGGACTACAGTCTGTAACTGTAGAACTACAAAGTGCACCTATATAGTAAGTGGAGCTGATAAAATGGGCAGTGAGCGTAGAAACAGTGGTGTCTCAGACTCGGCGCTGGAGGGCGCTCGTCCCGCCGCCGCGCTGTGGGGATTTGACGTGTCGCGTCTGCTGCACTTCCTCTGTTTTTCTGCTGTACCGAACGGGCCGAGGCCGAACTTCAAACGCGTAAAATCATTTATTTCGGAGGATGGTGTGATCGCCGCTCGACCATCACCGTCTCCGTGTCTCTGCCTGACCGCTGAAGGGAGTTCGAGCTGCGGGACTGATCAGCGTTAACCGCCAACGATGCAGTTCTCTCCGACCAACGGAGATTTTACCTTCGTCTCGTCGACTGACGCCGAAGGTAGCGTCACCTCACGGGGCCAGATCAGCTACAGAAACCGGACCGAGACCCAGAATGGCGTTATTATGTTCATATAAATCAGCTCAGACTCTCAGGTTGTGTCGTTGTGCTGTGTGTTTTGACGCTGTGGCGCTGGGAATCTATGTAGCTGGCTAGCTAGTTAGCTAACTGCCACCTAGCAGTCCTGGCACTGAAAATCCACGAACCGCAGCGCTGATTTGTTCAAGAGATGATTAAAACACGACGCTCGTTTATCTCAGACCCAAAACTCACAGCCTTCTCATGGCTGGACTGTCACTGTCAGCTAAGAGCTGCGGCCAAGTCGCGACAGTTCAGCTACTGACACTGTAGCTTAGCTACTGACGTTATAGTTCGACTAGTGACAGTACAGTGTGGCTACTGACACTATAGTTTGACTTGTGACGACGCCGTTTGGCTACAGACACTATAATTTGACTACTGACGACACAGTTTGGTTAGTGTCACAATGTTTTGGCTAGTGACAATACAGTATGGCTACTGACACTGGTTGGACTACTGACGATACAGTTTTGCTACTGACACTATAATTTGACTAGTGACGATACAGTTTGGCTACTGACACTAGAGTTTGACTTGTGACGACACATTTTGGCTACTGACACTATATTTTGGCTAGTGACATGATATTTTGGTTTCAGTTACAGTTACAGTTTGGCTACTCACACTATAGTTGGACTACTGACGATACAGTTTGGCTACAGACACTATAATTTGACTACTGACTACACAGTTTGGCTACAGACACTATAATTTGACTACTGACGACACAGTTTGGCTACAGACACTATAATTTGACTACTGACTGACACAGTTTGGCTACAGACACTATAATTTGACTACTGACTGACACAGTTTGGCTACAGACACTATAATTTGACTACTGACGACACAGTTTGGCTACAGACACTATAATTTGACTACTGATGATACAGTTTGGCTACAGACACTATAATTTGACTACTGATGACACAGTTTGGCTACAGACACTATAATTTGACTACTGACGACACAGTTTGGCTACAGACACTATAATTTGACTACTGACGACACAGTTTGGCTACAGACACTATAATTTGACTACTGATACAGTTTGGCTACAGACACTATAATTTGACTACTGACGACACAGTTTGGCTACAGACACTATAATTTGACTACTGATGATACAGTTTGGCTACAGACACTATAATTTGACTACTGACGACACAGTTTGGCTACAGACACTATAATTTGACTACTGACGACACAGTTTGGCTACAGACACTATAATTTGACTACTGATGATACAGTTTGGCTACAGACACTATAATTTGACTACTGATGACACAGTTTGGCTACAGACACTATAATTTGACTACTGACGATACAGTTTGGCTACAGACACTATAATTTGACTACTGATACAGTTTGGCTTCTGACTCTACAGTCTGGTAAGTGACTTTGCAGCTTGGCTGCTGACAACAGTGACAATACAGTTTTAGGCACTGACGGTACAGCCTGGTAACCCACACTGGTAGTTTAGCTACTGACAGTACAGTAATACAGTTTGGATACTGACAGTGCTGTTTGGTTACTGCCAGTATGCATCGGCTACTGCAAATATGGTTTGGCTACTGACAGCACAGTTTTTCGTTCTGACGCTGTCGTCGGGCTGTTTACAGTACAGTTTAGCTGCTGACACCTTACAACATAGTTTAAATCATGACAGTATAGTTTTGCCAGTGACAATAGAGTTTGATTACTTACAGTACAGTTTGGCTGCTGACACTAGTTTGACCACTGACGGTAGTGTCTGACAGCTGACCGTTACCATTTGGTGACTAAAAGTACAATTTTTCTACTGACAGTATCGTTTGGCCAGTGACCAGTTTGGGTACTGTCAATAGTATTTGTGCACTTACAGTACAGTGTGGCTAGTAATGATATAGTTTGGCTACTGATTGGCTTCTGACACTATAGTTTCACTACTGACAGTACTAACAGTGGTACTAACAACATGGTTTGGCTACTGCCAGTACTGTACAGTGGCTGCCAACAAGAGTTTAGCTACTTACATGATAGTTTGGCTACTACCAGTACAATCAGGCTACTGACTGTAGTTTGGCTGCTGACAGTACAGTGTAGTCATTGACAATATGGTAATACCGATAGGTTACTGACAGTGTGGTTCGTCCACTGATGATCTAGTTTGGCTACTGACAGCACAGTTTAGTCATTGCCATAACAGTTTGCCGTCTGACAGTACGTTTAGACAACTGACCATACATTCTCATTACTGTTCAGCTACTGACAGTACCGCCTTTTACTGGCTACCAGTCTGTCACAGAATAGACTTTAAGACACTATTACTGGCTTATGCTGCTATGCTGCTCTTATATGGACCCGGTTGACAGAGAGCTTTAGAAGAGCCCAGACAGTGGACACTTTTAAATCCAGGCTCAAAATGATCCTGTTTGAGCAGCTTTCAGCTCAGTTTAAACACTGTTAGCGTTTCGAGCCCTTTTTCCTCTGTAACAGCACTTTTTTCAAACTTTTAGTTTTTATTTTGATTATTTAACTATCCTAATTTCTAATTTAAATTTTAATTTAATGATTTTCTCTTTTAAATTTATTGTTTTAATCATGTTTTATTTGTGTTTTTAAGCATATATACACCAATCAGGCATAACATTTTATCAGCTCCACTTACTATATAGGTGCACTTTGTAGTTCTACAGTTACAGACTGTAGTCCATCTGTTTCTCTGATACTTTGTTAGCCCCCTTTTACCCTGTTCTTCAGTGGTCAGGACACCCATGGACCCTCACAGAGCAGGTACTATTTGGGTGGTGGGTCATTCTCAGCACTGCAGTAACACTGACGTGGTGGTCCTGTGTTAGTGTGTGTTGCGCTGTTTTGAGTGGATCAGACACAGCAGTGCTGCTGGAGTTTTTAAACACTGTGTCCACTCACTGTCCACTCTATTAGACACTCCTACCTTGTCAGTCCACCTTGTAGATGTAAAGTCAGAGACGATAGCTCATCTGCTGCTGCACAGTTTGTGTTGGTCATCCTCTAGTCCTTCATCAGTGGTCACAGGATGCTGCCCACGGGACACTGTTGGCTGGATATTTTTGGTTGGTGGACTATTCTCAGTCCAGCAGTGACACTGAGGTGTTTAAAAACTCCAGCAGCACTGCTGTGTCTGATCCACTCAGACCAGCGCAACACACACTAACACACCACCACCACATCAGTGTTACTGCAGTGCTGAGAATGATCCACCACCCAAATAGTACCTGCTCTGTGAGGGTCCATGGGGGTCCTGACCACTGAAGAACAGGGTAACAAAGTATCAGAGAAACAGATGGACTACAGTCTGTAACTGTAGAACTACAAAGTGCACCTATATAGTAAGTGGAGCTGATAAAATGGACAATGAGTGTAGAAACAAGGAGGTGGTCATAATGTTCCGCCTGATCGGTGTAAATAAACTTGCCTTGCTTTGCCTTTTACTGCAGAACTGAGCGGCACCATTGATGCCCCAGACATCAAGCTGAACATGGGCAGCGATCACAGCAGGGATGCATACGCTGCCACGTTCCTCAGGCAGAGAGGTTATGGCTGGCTGCTGGAGGTAGAGGAGGATGAGGCTGAGGACACTAAGCCTCTGCTGTAAGTCTTAGAGTTGCCATCTAACCTTCTATTGTGGAGGCAGTATAGAATAGAGTCTTTGCCATTATACTGAGGTAATTTCGTATGGCGTCTCTCCTACAGAGGTCACAAAAAAGCAGGAATAATAAAATAAAATAAAAATAAATTACAATAAATTACATAAAGCAGTAAAGTGACACTGTGCAAGACTATAAAAACCAATTCACATCCCAATGTGCAAAGCTACATTTACGTGTTATTACATATAGCTGTCTTGATTCTTGTACCTCATCAAACAGAAGTTCAAGCCTACCTGTTTACCATCTCATGCTTCTCTAAAGATGTGACCCTTTTGTATAGGGAGGAGCTGGATATTGACCTGAAGGACATCTACTATAAGGTCAGGTGTGTGCTGATGCCTATGCCATCCCTGGGCTTCAACAGGCAGGTGGTCCGGGACAATCCTGACTTCTGGGGACCGCTGGCTGTCGTGCTACTCTTCTCCATGATCTCCATCTATGGACAGTTTCGGGTGAGGACTAGCCTTGTGTTCATTTCTAGAATACAGGTTTGCCAGTGATCCCGTAAAATCCGAAACACGTATTTTCCTTAAAATGCATTTTGGCTTATTAAGAAATTCAACACTTGAGCTTGAACTCAATTTTAATTTCGGGAATGAAATTAAATCCTCATTAAACATTTAAACGCTTCTGTTATGATCACCAGCTCTGTATAATTCTCTGATGTGACATAAACAAGTTTCTCATTTTCATTTTCTAGGTTGTGTCCTGGATAATTACCATTTGGATATTTGGATCTCTGACAATTTTCCTTCTTGCACGAGTGCTTGGCGGAGAGGTAATGTTAGTGTTCTAACAAGTAGAGCTGATCCATCTTTGGAATTGTTAATAGTAGCGGTGGCGCTCACGGGAGTAAAAATAGGAAAATAATCAAATTTACACAGACTTTTATGTGTAATGGGTCACCAGAGGAGGATGACATCTGCCAATCCATGTCATAGGCTACATTTACACAGCAGGTAAAAGTGGCCCAAATCTGATTTTCTCAGCAAATCTGATTTTTTTGTTTGGCTGTTCACATTATCTTTTAAATGTGATCTGTATGCGACATCAGTCTGAACAGATCAGCTCCTAAACCGACCCACATGCGCAAAAGAACAGTGCTTCACGTGGCTCGTCCAGACACAAACAGTCATAACGGCCAGTGAACGCCTGTCGCTCCCAGAGCTTTCAGTTTCGTCTTCGCCAGCATCACAGGAGTGATTATAAAGTTCCAGTGGTTGACAGCTGGACTCATCACCCACAGTGTTCGAGTTCGCCGTAAAAAGGGCTCGTTATTCGGCCACTTCTTTGGTTCGTGTCCTCGGATTCTTTAAACTGTTCTCTGATGCTGCAGCCTCGGTCTCCTCCTAAACGTTTGAGTCTCAGCAGCACGAAATTATGACAAATGTCGAGTTGGATTGACGTAAAAGTCAGACTGAGTCGCATTGGACCGGATACGTATCGGATTTCAGTACCACATATGAAAGCGCCTCAAATCGGAATTGAAAATGTCAGATTCAGTGTGTTTATCTGTTCACACTGACACACAGACACAAATCTGTGTCACATACAGGGAAAAAGATCGGACTTGGGCCACTTTTACCTGCTTTACAAAGCCATAATGTAGTCAGACCAGTGTTGTTTGTTTTCATGTAGGTTTCTTACGGTCAAGTCCTCGGAGTGATTGGATACTCGTTGCTCCCGCTCATCGTAATAGCTCCGGTTCTCCTGATTACTGGGAGTTTTGACATTGTCTCTACACTCATAAAGGTAAGTATAACAAGAATTAGGGAAAATGTGTCATACTAACACTGTGGATTAGATGAATGATAAGGGAGTAGCTGGTCCATAATTAAGACATGTAGCCTGGAACCCGGATGTTGAACAAACTAAACCAGTGCTAGTGTGAACAGTAACATCAGAGATCAGAGTTGTACTGAATTAAGCATGAACAATAAAGCAAATTTAGACAAACATGTTTTTATCTGCAGAATTATTGCGATAAACACATCAGTGCAATAGCACTACAGTGTTATAGCTTGCATTTGTGCTAATAGCGATATAATTATCATATTATTTCTATTAGCTTATTATATTACCTAATCATTTCCAAGGTGTTTTGGGTTCCAGTGAAACAAATGCACGGACCGACTTGATGTTAAGTGTTACATGCCGTCTATGGGGACAACAGATTATTAGCCAGATTGCAAACACATCCACAAGGTGCCTAATCAGGCTCACTGTGCTGCACAGCGTGGTCTGTAGTGGCGGAGAGCGTCCGTCAATCAACCGACTGAAATCAATAAACCGGCATCCTTCTTTCTGAACAAGCTCAACCTTTTTACTCTCCACCAGGGAGCAGATCTCGGTTCTTTGCATGTTTTTGCCTTCATTATAGCTGGGCATGTTTATGATATCTCTGATTTTGATACCGCTGCCTCAGTTTTGGTACCAATTTCTGAACAATCCTTTTTTCAGTACCTCCTTTTTAATTACAGTGAGTGTGAGGTGCTGGACCTGTGTGTGTTTACTGACCGTAACGGATTGCGGTCCAGACAAGAAGGGCTGGGGTGAATAATATGCTTATAGAACGCAAATTAGACAGCCAATCAGCAGACATTCGGTATTGAATGACAACTATTTTTTGATAATTTAGCCATGTTTACATGCAGCCTAAAAATCTGTTAATAAAAATCTGACTAATAGCTCAATAGAAATATAATACTTTTATATAAACACCTCAATCGGAAAACACCCGTCCAATTGAGGCCATTCGGAATAAATTTTCTATTCATTTAAACAAGGTGGGTAATCCTGTACGTAATCCATTAAATAGAAGAATAATATCCGTGTAAACGCCTGTATCTGATTACATTCCCTATCGGAAAGTTTAAGTCCGTTCTGATCATGTTCGTCACGTCATAGTGAAAGTTTATAACGTTCAACATGGCGGAGCAGAAACTGGTCAGCAGAGGAGACGAAGTTTATGCTCTGATCTTTAAAAGACGGTGGTGGGACGGACGTCCAGCTTATGTGTCTCGGAACACGACGTCTTCCTCTCGGCCTTCTTTAATAAGGACATGTGAAGGACGTTTTCCTGAGTCTGACATCATTTTAAAGCAATTAAAAACACAAGCGCTGCTCACTGCTGCTCGTCTCACTCTGACTGGACTCACGTGATGCTCGTTGTCATGGTAACCTTTACACTAAGTGGTTCTCTACACATGCGCGTAATTTTGGATCGGATTACTTGTAGTGAGCATGTAAACAGAGATCTTCCATCAGATTGTTGGGTAGACTCAGAATAAACACCTCAATCTAAATCTGTAATCGGATTGTATTCAGTCAGATTGGCAAAAATCTTTGCATGTAAACACAGACACTGTGTCAGTGAACATGAAGTAATGGTTGGTCTTTTGGGATTAGCTTTAGCCTAACACGGTCAGCGGAGCGCTTGCTGCGATAGTTTCCTCTCGTACCGCCTGACGAGACTCACGTGAGTCAAATTACTTGAGAAATTTGATGAAACTGAATTTCATTTGATTTGAATGTAACTGCTGCTTCATTTAAGGCAGAATGTAAATTTTGAACAAAAAGCTTGCGATTAAGAAGCCAACTTCTGTCTTTTAGAAATTAGGCATGAAACAACACGGCTAGTGCCAGAAAGCAGTATTCACATAGGTTTGACTCTGTGCTGTTCAGTTCTATTTTCACTGTTTTACACGATAAAAGGATTTCAGCTTTACTTAGGTTGTTGTAATAAAAATTATTCTTATTAAACAAAGAAGACACGTTAAGCTTAATAGGGCACTGATAACCTCCAGGTTTCTATTGAAGTCATGGCTTTATTTGAATATAAAACGTAAACTGTAAGAAATAGTAATTACACTGATCAGGCGTAACATTATGACCACCTCCTTGTTTCTACCCTCACTGTCCATTTTATCAGCTCCACTTACTATATAGGTGCACTTTGTAGTTCTACAGTTACAGACTGTAGTCCATCTGTTTCTCTGATACTTTGTTAGCCCCCTTTTACCCTGTTCTTCAGTGGCAGGTACTGTTTGGGTGGTGGATCATTCTCAGCGCTGCAGTAACACTGACGTGGTGGTGGTGTGTTAGTGTGTGTTGTGCTGGTCTGAGTGGATCAGACACAGCAGTGCTGCTGGAGTTTTTAAACACTGTGTCCACTCACTGTCCACTCTATCAGACACTCCTATCTTGTCGGTCCACCTTGTAGATGTAAAGTCAGAGACGATAGCTCATCTGCTGCTGCGCAGTTTGTGTTGGTCATCCTCTAGTCCTTCATCAGTGGTCATAGGACGCTGCCCACAGGACGCTGCCCACAGGACGCTGTTGGCTGGATATTTTTGGTTGCTGGACTATTCTCAGTCCAGCAGTGACACTGAGGTGTTTAAAAAGTCCAGCAGCACTGCTGTGTCTGATCCATTCAGACCAGCACAACACACACTAACACACCACCACCACATCAGTGTTACTGCAGTGCTGAGAATGATCCACCACCCGAATAGTACCTGCTCTGTGAGGGTCCATGGGGGTCCTGACCACTGAAGAACAGGGTAAAAGGGGGCTAACAAAGTATGCAGAGAAACAGATGGACTACAGTCTGTAACTGTAGAACTACAAAGTGCACCTATATAGTAAGTGGAGCTGATAAAATGGACAATGAGTGCAGAAACAAGGAGGTGGTCATAATGTTATGTCTGATTGGTGTATGCTATAATTTTTTTTTATTATTTAATATTCAAAGTTTTTGGCCATACCACTCACTATTACTGCTCTGGTATAATTTGATCAGTACCAAAATGGTATTAAATTTAAAAGTCTGATAAGGTTTTTGTTTGTTGTTTGCTGATCATTTTTTCATTCCATTATATAATGATGTTTTTATGCTTCATTTCCAGCTCGGTGGAGTATTCTGGGCTGCGTACAGCGCCGCGTCGCTACTCGTTGGTGACGAGTTCAAGACAAAGAAGCCGCTCCTCATATACCCCATCTTCCTTTTGTATATCTACTTCCTGTCCCTGTATACTGGCGTCTGATTGGACCACGGGCCTTAAATGGCACGTTGCTTGGACACTGATACAGCGCACCGGGGGGAGGTACACTGCTGGACTGTTTACATGATGCAGAAGAAGGAGCATGGATCCTTTATTTTCTTTTTTATTTACTTTTTATTTTACCCGGATTATTCCTCCACAGTGAGTCTTGAAGTGTACAGAGTTGATGTATTTAATGTAATTAACTTTGTACCCACTGAAAAGGTATAGTTTTATCAAGCAATGCCGTTTAGATATTGCTCTTGCACAGAGAACTCTAGTCGTGTGAAGGCTATTCTACAAAGTACACTAAAAAGAGAAAACCCTTTTCCAAATGTTACGTTGCAATTGGATCTGATAACCATGACAGTCATGTATCAGACATCCCCTTCAATGTATTATCAAGCCTAATGGTGTAGATATCTGTAATTCATCTCAGTCCTAAATTAAATGTTGATGGGGCCCTTTTTCTCTGTAATATTTTGAGGTGACTGGGATTTTTTTTTCTTTGCTGTTGACACATTCTCTGCAGTTTTGATTCTTAACTTATAAATTTAACCAGAAAAAAAAACGAAAGGGTTGTAGAACCTGAGTAAAACCATGTCTACTAAGAATGGGTGCCTTTTATTAGTTGTTTTATATGGCTGTGGTTTATTTTATTGGACTGTAAATGTAGCCAAAAAAATGTATTTGTATAACTTGCGATCCGAGACAACTTTATACTTAGCAATGTATGAAACACATGACAGGATTGTAACCAGTTTCTTTCGAAAATAATTCAGTCCAGAATATTGTGATATTAATATACAGGTCATTCATTTGATTAAAAAGCATTTCCGTCATACTTCATCTCATTTGGCAAGTCTTTTCACCCGCCCCTTACTTTGGCAGCAGTAATGCTGACGGATCTTCCCTCTCAAATTACATTGTTAAGCTTTGTGAATGCTTACAACATTAAAAACAGTACAGTGTACTATTTGTATATACACTCACCAAGCACTTTATTAGGAACACCTGTACACTTTCATGCATTTATCTAATCAGCCAATCGCGTGGGAGCAGCGCAGTGCATAAAATCATGCAAATGCTGTCCAGCAGCATGATTGCTGGTGCCAGAGGGGCTGGTTTCAGCATTTCTATAATGGCTGATCTCCTCAGATCAGTCTCCAGAATTTCTCAGAATGGTGCAATAAAGAAAAAACATCCAGTGAGCGACGGTTCTGCAGATGGAAATGTTTTGTTGATGAGGGAGGTCAACAGAAAATGGTCTGACCAGTTTGAGCTGACAGAAAGGCTATGGTAATGCAGATGACCACTCTGTTCAATTGTGGTGAGGATAAAAGCACCTCAGAATGAGGTGGATGGGCTACAACAGCAGAAAACCACGACAGGTTCCACTTCTGTCAGCCAAGAACAGAAAGCTGTGCCTGCAGGGGGCAGAGGCCCACCAAAACTGGACAGTGTAAGACTAGAAAAACATAGCCTGGTCTGATGAATCTCAATTTCTGGTGAGGCAAACACATGGTTGGGTCAGAATTTGGTGTAAACTACATGAATCCATGGACCCAACCTGCCTCGTGTTAATAGACCAGGCTGGTGGAGGTGGGGTAATGGTGTGGGGAATGTCTTCTTAGCACATTTTCGGCCTGTTAATACCAGTCAATCATCGTTTGATTCCCACAGCCTATTTGAATATTGTTGCTGACCATGTCTATCCCCTCATGGCCACAATTTACCCATCCTGTAATGGCTAGTGCGATAATGCACCAGTTCACAAAGCAAAACTTGTCTCAAACTGGTTTATGAACATGACAGTAAGTTCAGTGTTTTCAGTAGCTTTCCCAGTCATCGGATCTGAATACAATAGAACACCTTTGGGATTAACATATTTACAACCACTGCAACTACGTGCGTCTTCTGAGTTACATGAAATGTTGAAATTTAAAGGATAATAGTTTAAACTTCACTCTGTGCAATTTATCATATTTTTACATATTTGTCACAGTTGAATGTTTCAGATCATCAAAACCACTTTTAATATTAGACAAACATAACCAAAGTAAACACAAAATGCTGTTTTTAAATGGTGATTTCATTTATTGAGGGAAAAATGCTGTTCAGCCCTACTTGGCTCTATGAAAAAAGAGTAGCTTTACCTTAGCTGCTCTATCAACCAGTTAACCAAATTCAATTGAATTTGGGTTCAATGTCACTCACCACACCCAGACATGATCACTGCCAGACCTGTTGAATCTAAACATCACTTAAATAGAACCTGTCTGGCAATGTGAAGAAGGTTAGAAGGTCTCAAACAGCAGCACATGATGTCTAAAGAGATTCAAATACAGATGTGAAACAAAGTCATTGAAATCTACCAGTCTGGATAGGGTTACAAAGCCATTGCCAAGCGACCCGCAGTGAGAGCCGTTATCCACAAATGAAAAAAACTTTGAACAGTGGTGAACCGTCCCAGGAGTGGTCGGCCTACCAAATTTCACTTTGAGCACATCAACGACTCATTCAGGAGGTCAAAAAGGAGCCCAGATGAACATCTAAAGAGCTACAGGCCTCACTGGCCTTAGTTAAGGTCAATGTACACAATTTCATAATAAGAAAGACACTGGGCAAAAATGGCATCCATGGGAGAGCTGCAAGGCGCAAACCACTGCTGACCAAAAAGAACACAAAGGCTAGTCTTGAATTTGCCGAAAACCTTTTAGATGGGATAATATTCTGTGGATTGATGAATCAAAGGTGGAATGTTTTAGAAGACATAGATCCCGTACATCTAGCATAAAGCTAACACTCCTACCACCATAAGAACTTCATACCAACAGTGAAACATGGTGGTGGTAGTGTGATGGTCTGGGGCTGCTTTGCTTCTGCGGGACCTGGACAACTTGTCATACCATGGAACCATGAATTCTGCTCTCTATCAGAAAATCCTGAAGGAGAATGTCTACAAGTCAGTTTGAGTGCAGTTGTGCAGCAGGACAATGATCCAAAGCACACAAGTAAGTCCACCTCTGAATGGCTCAAAAGAAAGAAAGTTATGGAGTGGCCGAATCCTGACTTGAATCCCATTGAGATGCTGTGGCGAGACCTTAAACGGGCAGTTGATTCTCGAAAGCCCTCCAATATAGCCGAATTAAAACAACTCTGCAAAGAAGAGTTGGCCAAAAGAGATCTAGAGGGAGTGTGTTTGGGACAGACTCGTGTGACATGCAGGGTTTGCATGTGTGAGATTTTGTTATTGGCCTTACTCGTTCTGTTTAATGAGCTCGTTTGCTTTTCTAAAGGAGGTAGATTCAGATTACAAGCAGAATGCAGTTTAAGCTAAATTAATAAACAAATGCATTTAACTTACGTCTAAGTATCTTCTTATTCTCCACCGTATAAGCAAAACCATTGACCCCAATTGGTCCTCGCCTTTCTCACAAAGAAATTTTAGGTAGGAGGGTGACGCAGTCCTCGCTGATAGCTGCAATCAGGGCACATAGAGGGCACCTGTAAGCCCTTTGAAAGGCAAAAAATCTAGACACATCACGATCTTGTGGGCTTGTGCAGATGACGACTGCAGGACTGCAAGGGCACCATTTGGGACTGAGAAAGCTCTTCTTAGCTGTGTCCAAAGCTGTGTCCTATTCACTATATAGTGCACTATGTTGGAGTGGCGCTCGAAAAGTGCACTCGACCTTTCCCACAATGCACCGTGATACGTACTACACAACCGATGTACCCTAGGAAATAGGAAATCAGTCCCTGCTCCCTATATAGGGCACACTACCTTAGCCATGAAATAAAGGCCTCTACACCAAAATAGTGCCCTATATGTACAAGGAGGGGGCATTTTGGCATTTTGCTTTTATGTTATATCTTTAAGTCTGACTTTTGTGTTTTTGAGGAACATATTGGCAAGCAAACTATGTGCTGATAGGTGTTCTGGCATTGACATCCACTGAGGGAAAAGAAGACCAACGTTTGTGTTTTTCCTTGTCCGGGTTTCTCGGCTCTGGTTCATCAGATCTGCTTGGGAACGAAAGTTTCAGCAATGTATATTCTTATGACTCTTGTGACTACCACTTTTTGGCCAATACTGATATTGAAGTCGTGAAAAATGATACGCATAATGCACAGTGTTGTTTGGTTTGAAAATTCAAGGCAATGTCCCTGAGTAGGATTGCCGAGCCCAGCTGCAACAGCAGCGTCTCCATAGTGTCTGAAATAGTTTACTACCACCACCAATTATGTTCCCTAGAATAGTGTCCTATATAGTGATTTTTGAATGTAGGGTATAGTGATTAGGGAACCATGCCGGACATGGCATTTGTGACTAGTATAGTTTTATTCTAGATTTTGTTGCCCTGCTAAAATGCTTGTGGTACGATGTGAGAAAACTTATTGCTGTGTTCAGCATAACTGAGTCAGAACCCCAGCCCAGAAAGCAGACCTTTGTAATTATTACCTAAAACCCAAATCACTCCCTGCTCCCTATATAGTGCACACTACCTTAGCCATGAAATAAAGGCCTCTACACCAGACTAGTGCCCTATGTGTACAAGGAGGGGGCATTTGGGACAGAGCCGTCAGCAGCAGCCGCAGCCACAGTGAGTTAGCCACACGCCCTGACTTTTTCTATCACGTTTTACCCCAAATTCACATTTGTTGAATACTTTTAGGTGTGGAACAAAAGCAAGGAATTAAGTTATTTGTCAAGCCTGCTCGGCACGCCTGATCACGAACCTAACTCGCTATCATGTGGCTTTCTGTTGTGCTTGCGGCGCCCCTAGTGGTTTGGCGTGGGGGCTAACGTAGCGACTACGCTACTTGCGTTTCCCTGCCGAGTTAGCAGCGAGCGGAGCCGCCGCTCGTCACCTACACCGAATGGTGAATAGCAGCTGCCGCGGTTACGGGAGGAGAGGAACAGAAGCCGAGCAGGAGGGAGAGCCAGCAGCGGTACTTCGGACTTCGGATTTTTTTTACCCCCTTTTTTCCTCCCCCCCCCCAAAACACAGAACCGTATCGACAGAGACCCTCGAAAGAAAGCGGACCGGGGGGAGGCGAATTTACAGAAAAGTGAAAAATGGCGGCCGCGGCCTCGCCGGGCTCCTGCTCGTCCAACTCCTCCGACTGGGTTGTTCTGAGGGACGGATGCCTCCGTTGCGACGAGGAGGGCCTGCGGAGCCTGTCCTACCACCCGGCCCTCAACGCTATCCTGGCGGTCACAAGCCGGGGCAGCATCAAAGTCATCGACGGCACCTCGGGGGCCATCCTGCAGGCCTCCGCGCTGCACGGTGAGCTTCGGCGCGGCCGGCCCGGCGCGTCAGGGCGCTTTAGAGAAAGTAGCACGACGTGTCCGGGACCGGGGAGTTTATTAGGGCCTTCTTGTGTGGCTTTAGCTCGGAGCTAGCTAACGTTACCCTCGCCGAGTCCCAGCGGTTGCTGCTGGATGGACGCGACCGTTGTTTATGGTCAGAACCAGCCGCGAGATGAATATAACTGCGTTATTTCTCCCTCAAACCCTGACCTGTTTTCATTACAGCGTTCAAAACAAAACTACCAGTCTCACTTGGCTTGACGAGGTTGAAGTCGGCTTCCTATTCGCCCGCTTCTCGCTCTCGTTCCCCCCGTTCCACCTTAAACGGGGCGGCAGGAAAATGCTGCGCCGTTTAAGGTGGAACGGGGGAATTTCTTCTGACTTGAGCTGAATGCGATTCGGCAAGGAAGCGAGCTGGCTCCTTTCTCGTATGTGTCAAGTTAGTGACACACGGCTAGCCGCCGTTAGCGAGCTTGCTAAGCCTTCTTATTTACATTCTCGGTGAAGTTAGCTGGTTAGCTTTAGCCTCGCTAGCTAACGAAAACAAGCGAGCTCTGCTGGCGCTGGTTAGCTTAGCTAGCTTAGTTAGGTTCGAGCCCGAGTGTCCGCTGCGATGTATTGTTTATAATTCACGTCCTCGGTTTTGTCTCGGTGTCAGTCATTTACAGAATTATGTCTACTTTGCTTGACGTTCATGGTTGGCAGGGTATTATAATGTACGCCATTAGTAAGTTATTAATGTGGCCTGAGTCGGTTGCTTGGCTAGCTAACGTTAGCTGTACATCGGTCTAGTTGTTTAGCAGACTATAAACTCGATATTAGTTCACATGAGTTAATAAAATACGCAGGATCTGCTGTTGATCCTCCAAGACTCCAGTTAGAGGCTATCTAAGGGTCAGTTGACCCTCGGTTGTCCGGTATGTGTTCGTGTTAGGCTTGTTTTGGTAGTTGAAGTTTCAGCACTGCTGTTAAACACTAACCGGCATCAACGCATCACACAGTCCAGCCAGGTTTTGGCCAGCTTGTAGTGTTTGTCTGTCCGAATCAGCCTGTCAGAAACACTTTTAATATTGATTGTGACCAGAAAAACACTGGACACATGTGGACTGAATACATGCTTCAGTTGTTGCTGTCACAGTTCAGTCCTAAACTGAGGTCACTTTCTGTTGGGTTGGGTTAAAAGCAGCACGTTCCACTATGTCGTTTTACTTTTATGTTGTACTTTAAGTCTGAGTGTTTTTGAGGAATATGTTGGCAAGCAAACCAAGTGCTGAAAGGTGTTCTGGCATCAACATCCACTGAGGGAAGAGAAGGCCAACGTTTGTGTTTTTCCTTGTCCGGTTTCTCGGCTCTGGTCCATCAGATCTGCTTGGGAAACGAAAGTTTCAATAATGTGTATTCTTATGACTCTTATGACTACCACTTTTTGTCCAATACTGACATTGAAGCCTTAAAAAACAGAATAAACTGACGCTGAAGATGGCACTTCACCTGAGATCAGTGTCTGAAAGAAGGCTGTCATGCTCAGGCTGCTCAAACACTTTGCTACCCCACAGGTGGAAATACCCAGCTAGCAACATGAAACATGCAGGATTAGATTAGGCTAGATTTTTTTGCGGAATTGAATCAGAATCATTCATTTTTTTCCCCCTCAAATACCACACAAAAGCAGCGTTTTCTGCTAATATTGCGCCGATGCTGATACCGATCAATACTGATATTCCTTCTCTAATAACACTGGTGCGTGATTGTCACAATTAGGTCAAACCCATGTCTGATTCCAAATAATGAAGTGGTAGTTCCCTGGGTACTTCCCTTACCTCTTTCAATTGTTTCGCCATGATTTTGGTTGATATTGCATCATCATCATTATACACTCATGTCTTTTGCACACTGGTCACCCGTCGTCGTCCAGTGGTCATCATTTGCTTACGAACGGACTAATAATTACCTCCTGAAAGGATTCACTTGTGTCGGGCCATGAGAATTGTGAGAATGTGCCTGGGCAGTGAAGTTGAGAGATTAGCCCACCGTGGGCAGAATATGATCCATGTGACGGTTTCCTGACGTGAAATCTTAACCACATTATTTTTGAAATTACCTTTTTGACTGAAAATAGCTCGTTTCACTCGTCATAGCCTTCGGGAAAAGTCATATTCTGATAGATGTGTCGATCTTGTTTTGAGTCATAAGAAAACCTTCGGCGTGGTCACATGCTGTTTGCTGAGATATGCATCAGTGTTATGGTTGATGTGTATAGGTGTAGAGTTCCTGGTCAAGTCTGTTCTGCAGTGATGAAGAGGATGAAAATAATACTGATCTTTTTTGAAAATGAGTTTGACTGCAGTGTTTCACGGTGCATATTTAAGAGCCAGTTTGTAAAAGAGTTAGTGATTTTGTCTCGTATATAGGGCTGAGCAATTAATCGAAGCAGACATTCAGAACCTCTAACCGATGTAATATTGCCCATGTCAGGTATTTAGTTTTTTAAAAAAGTCGGTTAATCCTCTCCCCACCCTGTGTGTTCATGTACTGTCCCCTTAAAAACGTACTACGGCGCGCGTATCACGTGACTCCGCCACGTCCGCTCTGCGACATGGAAGCTAAGGCTGTGTTCACACAGCAGGTAAAAGTGGCCCAAATCTGACTTTCTTACCAAATCCGATTTTTTTGTGTGTGTGTTCATATTATCTTTAAATGTGATCTGTATGTGACATCAGTCTGAACAGATCAGCTCCTAAACTGACCCACATGTGCAAAAGAACAGAGCGTCACGCTGCTTCACGGCTCATCCAGAGGTCAACAGTCACGACTGCCAATGAACGCCAGTCGCTCCCGGAGGATCAGCTTTATCTTCACCAGCATCACAGGAGCCATCATGAAGCTTCACTGACTGACAGCTGGGCTCATCACCCAGAATGTGTTCAAGCTCACTGTAAAAAGGGCGCGGTCACTTCGCGTCCTCGGATTCTTTAAACTTTGCTTTCAGACTTCAGAGATTTCAAAATCTCTTTGAACACAGAGGGTTTTGGATGAGTCTCGTCTAATTTTTGTACAGAAATATCACCGTTAATTACGATAACCACTGAATTATCTTAGTTTAATGTTGTTTCAGTGTATTATGGTCGTTTTCTTCATAACAAGCATAAAACAGCACTAATAGCATGCTAAGGTCTCAGTAACTAGCTAGCTAACTTTCCCGTTCCACCTTAAATAGTCCAGCAGTTCTGACGCCTGAAGCACCAGAATGTAACTGCTGCTCCATTTAAGGTGGAATGGGAAAATTCGAACAAGAAGCTGATGAATATCTGACTTCAGATTCGTATCACCAAAGAATTAGCAGTGGGTGATAATAAATAATTGCCCCCTCTTTGAAGGCATATGATGCCCTAAATGTAACTAAAGCCCAGCAGTGAGGAGCTGAACTTTACCCTCCTCTGCTGTCACTGCAGACGGGCCAGGTTGCCTACAGAGCAGCGCTAGTAGCTGTTAATGAAGTAATTTTTTCTATTTTTTTTTCTATTATTTGAGGTTTGTCCCATTTTGTAGGGCAAGATTTCAACCACTACCCCTTGTAACTCAGTTCCAAGGGGTTAGGGTGACACTTGAAAACAAGGGGTAGGGGTAAAAAGAAGAAATGGGACTGGGCTTTTTTCTTAGGACCTTTCTCAAGACCAGATTTAGGGAAAAAACTTTTGGTGAATGACACCCAGTGTTGGTCGTTTCTATTGAGAGGTTTTGGTCTATTTATGTTTCATTGATTAGATTTGAGTTGGCAAAACAATATTGGAAAACTCTGATGTCATATGATCCCTAGAACCATCAAAATTAGGGCAGATATGGCTTCTTTCTTCAGCTCTTTCCCAGACAAACCGTTGTATGTTTAGTTATGCCTGACCGACTATCAGCTACTGTTTTAAAAACACCCTTTAAACTTAGTCAAATGAGTGTAAGTCATGGCTCTAATATAAGAAACGTGTCTGCAGTACCTTCTTTATGAATGATCAGTTTTACAGTTTCACAGAAGTGAAACTGGGCTTTGGCGCACAGCTTGTTGATAGCGCTGCTCTTTCTCTTCCTTCTACTGTTACTGGGCGTCTGAGCTGCCAGTAAATTAAGTTGGTTCTGTAGAGTTAGTTGACTAGTCTAACTTGGCAGGCTAGACTTCCTTGCATGGCTTGGAAGACCTCTCGCTCATTGTAGCCATCTGAGTAGTACTGTATTTTAAGAAATGCTAATAGTGTTTGAATGATTGGCCAAGTTCTTGCTTTGTCTTACCCACTAACACTTCACTACCACCCTGGTTAGCATAGTCACTCCTCGTTCAACGTAAATTTTCCTCTGTAATTTCTTAACTTATCTAGCCCAGATTCAAATTCTGACCTCTGCCAGAAAATAAAAGCTTAAAAAAGTGGAAAAAACCTTATGTAGTGGGGTTGTTTACACCAGTGTTGCTCAGCCCTGCTCCTGGAGGCCCACCGCCCGGCGCATTGTCATGCTTTCTGAGCTTCAGTACGCCCACTTGAACTGAGTAAGGGCTTCTTAGTGGGCTGATTATTTGGATCAGGTGTGTTGGGAGCAGGGAAAGCACTTAAATAGTGCAGGGCAGTGGGCCTCCAGGACCAGGGCTGAGAAACACTGGTTTACACCATTTTCAAACACTTCGCAGCCTGAAATGGCAGCACAGTCCAGGCAAAGTTCAGTTTTTCTAGCTTTTCACACCATTTAAATAATGTTTTAGTCTTTGTTTTTTTTTTTTTATCTGACTTTTGTTAACATTAACACTCAAATGTTTAGGATCACTGAGATTTTAATGAGGGTTTAATATTTGCAGTCAAGTTGTAGACCCATTTAAAATGATCCCAACTTTAGCAAACTCTATGGCTGTGTTCTCACAGCAGGTAAAAGTGGCCCAAATCTGATTTTTTTTTGTTTGGCTGTTCACATTATCTTTTAAATGTGTTCTGTATGAGACATCAGTCTGAACAGGTCAGCTCCTAAACTGACCCACATGTGCAAAAGAACAGAGCTTCACGCGGCTCATCCAGAGGTCAACAGTCACGACTGCCAATGAACGCCAGTCGCTCCCGGAGGATCAGCTTTATCTTCACCAGCATCACAGGAGCCATCATGAAGCTTCACTGACTGACAGCTGGACTCATCACCCAGAATGTGTTCAGCTCACCGTGAAAAGGGCGCGGTCACTTCTTTGGTTCGCGTCGTCGGATTCTTTAAACTTTGCTTTCAGACTTTTAACTGTTCTTTGACGCTGCAGCCTCGTTCTCCTGCGGCCGCGCTCGGACATTTCTTTCGAAACCTCTTCGAACACGGAGCGGTTGCGATGAGTTTCGTCAAATTTTTTGGTACAGAAACATCAGCCTAAATGTTTGAGAGTCAGCAGCGAGAAATTATGACGAATGTCGAGTTGGACTGACGTAAAAGTCGCATGAATTCCGATCTGGCTGTTCAGACTGAGTCGCATTGCTGCAGATCGGATAGGTATCGGATTTCAGTACCACATATGAAAGCGTCTCAAATCAGAATTGAAAATGTCAGATTCAGTGTGTTTTTTTGCTGCTCACACTGACACTCAGACACACATCTGTGTCATATATGGAGAAAAAGATCAGATTTGGGCCACTTTTACCTGCTGTGTGAACCTGTTTGGATGGTTTTTCACACCTTCACAGAAAGTGATCTGTAGCTGTGTAGATGCTCTTTTGTCGTTCCCGGTTATACACAGGTTGCTCATAATAACCTGCTTGTTCTCACTGAGGTCCGTTGCTATAACACTGCTAGAGTTTTAATCGTCAGTTCAATCTGTTAAGCCTTAAATGTTATTTTGTGTGTCATACTTTCCTTCTGTTGTGGCTTTAAACAAATTCGATCAGAAGTGAAAGTAAGTCTGATGAATAAGTGACTGAGATGTTTTGCATGAGCAAACTACTGTGTAGGCTTTTATACTTGTAATTGAACTCTGCCAGGAGGCCTAACGTTGTATCGTGGCACAATTCCTACCAATTCAAATTACAGTGTAATTAGAAAGGAGTAAAGGTGTATTTATGATCAGTGGTCTGCGATTGTTTCACTTTCTTTTTGACGTGGGGCTCGAAGCCATAAAATCTGGAGTAGTTTTTATTGCCGTTTATTGCCATGCCGGTTTTTTTTTGTTTATCACATGCGCCTGTGTTTTCTTTAGGTTATCCCAGTACCTGAAATCACTTGTTAACATGGATTTGGAGGCATTTTTCTAAGTTGAAAATTAACGTGAAAATGAATTGCAGTTGTTACTGTTACTATTATTACAGGCAGTTTGTTTTGCGTGGCACATTTGAAAGTAAGATTTCTTTGGAAGGCTAAACGACGTCCTTTGCAGATCTCATGAAACACAAGATACTTGGTAAAAGCACTTTAGCTAAATCAAAATTAGCTCTGTGCTAAGGGCACTTCTCCTGGTAGTATTGTTAATACGGTGGCCTCCTTAGCACGTAATGCCATGTTCATCATTATTCAGCGTTTAACAGGTGGCTGTGTTGTCATACAGACACCGATCAGGCATAACATTGTGACCACCTCCTTGTTTCTACGCTCATTGTCCATTTTATCAGCTCCACTTACTATATAGGTGCACTTTGTAGTTCTACAGTTACAGACTGTAGTCCATCTGCATACTTTGTTAGCCCCCTTTTACCCTGTTCTTCAGTGGTCAGGACCCCCATGGACCCTCACAGAGCAGGTACTATTTGGGTGGTGGATCATTCTCAGCACTGCAGTAACACTGACGTGGTGGTGGCGGTGTGTTAGTGTGTGTTGTGCTGGTACGAGTGGATCAGACACAGCAGTGCTGCTGGAGTTTTTAAACACTGTGTCCACTCACTGTCCACTCTATTAGACACTCCTACCTTGTCAGTCCACCTTGTAGACGTAAAGTCAGAGACGATAGCTCATCTGCTGCTGCACAGTTTGTGTTGGTCATCCTCTAGTCCTTCATCAGTGGTCATAGGACACTGCCCACAGGACGCTGTCGGCTGGATATTTTTGGTTGGTGGACTATTCTCAGTCCAGCAGTGACATTGAGGTATTTTAAAACTCCAGCAGCACTGCTGTGTCTGATCCACTCAGACCAGCACAACACACACTAACACACCACCACCACGTCAGTGTTACTGCAGTGCTGAGAATGATCCACCACCCAAATAGTACCTGCTCTGTGAGGGTCCATGGGGGTCCTGACCACTGAAGAACAGGGTAAAAGGGGGCTAACAAAGTATCAGAGAAACAGATGGACTACAGTCTGTAACTGTAGAACTACAAAGTGCACCTATATAGTAAGTGGAGCTGATAAAATGGACAGTGAGCGTAGAAACAAGGAGGTGGTCATAATGTTATGCCTGATCACTGTACATGTATAATTTATTGTTGGAAACCTGATCTTTGTCGCATTTGGCTAAAGAACTGACAGCTGTCTTCTGTGTGAAGACTAAAAAAAAGACAGCTGATGACCCAAGGAGCCCCAATTCCTTATTCATAAACACATTTGAAATAAATCTCATTAACCGAGTCTTAAAAAGGGGAAAATAGGATTTGGCTGTTTACTTGCTCACTTCTCTCCTCTGCCCTCTGTTGTAGCCAAACCCGGGGGCCGTGTGAGGTGTCAGTACTTTCCAGCGGTGGACAAGGTGCTGTTCGTGGATGACTACGCGGTGGGCTGCAGGAAAGACCTGAACGGCATCCTCCTTTTGGACACAGCTCTCCAGGCCCCTGTGTCCAAACCGGAGGACATGGTCCAGCTGGAGTTACCAGTCACAGAGGTGGGTGACCTGTTGACCTTCATTACAGGAGCTATTATTGTCTCGTTGGGTTGTCTTGAACATAAGGGCTGCACAGTATATCATTTATTAGGGCTGTAATTCAGTCTTATTACTCAGTTAGTGCTATGAAACCAGTGTGAGCTGTGTAGTCACCAGAATGAGGAGTTGCTGTGTGGGCCCCTGTACAGGCCCTTAGGGTTTAAAGATCTAATTGTTAGTACGGTATTGCCCTGTGCAGTACTCATATCCCAGAGAGATGGAATATGCAAATGAACTGTCATGATTTTGTGAACATCCTGACCAGGTGCTGGTGTTCCTTGATGAGTTTGGATGTTTTTATTAAATATATTTTGTCCATGTTGCCGATATGTTCGTCCTGATGTGTATCTGGATGATTTAAAAGCTCATGTTTAGGATCTAGTAATTGCATTCTGAATGTCCTGTGTCTTGCAAAGTCAGTCATCGTGTATCATTGTGTATTATTGCACCGAAAGGCCAAACTTGGAGGCGTCCTGCACCTAAACAACCCGTTCTAAAACGGATGGGTCCGGTCCTAAAATCTGACTGGCTGAGCCGCATTTAAAGCCGTTTTAACATCCACTATATGCCACAGCTGTGACGCCTCACAACAACTGAACTCTGCTACGGCACCAAAAACCCTTCTGCTGTTAATGGATTAATCTTTGACTCTAATGCTGATCAGAGCACAGAGTATATTGATGAAGTAAGAACCTGTTTATGTTTAAACTGATGGGCTGGCAACTTAACTAGATATAGGCTGGTCAACTAGCCAACAGGCTAAAAGGTAGCAAACATGCTAAACAACTCCATCTTTAACATCACAGGCTTGAATTAAAGTACTCACGATATGATTCAGTGAAAAACGGCAGTATAAAAGTCTAAAGAGCGTCACCTGAATGTCCTACACGCTTCAAACGTCCCGTGTTTCAGTCAGAAGTTGCGTCAAACCCAGGCTGAGTCCCAAACGGCTCCGTACTCCTTAGCTAAATAGTGAGCTGTGTGACATTAAGTGTAGAAATTCGGTAGGGTGCTGTTCATGAGGCTACATGACACCTACATAAGCTTGTCATGATGACTTACATAACCCTACATAAGTTTTTATAAATGTTTATTCCAAAACGCGTCATTTGCTATAAAGGTTAAATTGGCCAATTTTGATCAAAGTCAGCTAAAGTAGCCTTTATGACAGATGGTGGCTGTTGTAATAAGCATTTACGAACAGTTATGTAGGGATATGTCACTTGTCATGACAACCTTATGTAGCCTAATGAGCAGCGCCCTACAGTAAAGTGTTACCAGGTATTCTAGCTTCTGCTGTCTAATACTGCACTGCTCTTTCAAGTATGAATGTGTCTGAGTCCCGAATGACCATTTTTAGTGGTATTTTGCTCTGTTGGGCCGCAGGAGTCAGTATTTAAACTCCTACGTAGTGCACTATGTAGGGAGCAGGGAGCCGTTTGAGATTCAGCCCCAGCGTCAGAAAAGTGGCGTCGTCAGACTGGCAGAAACTTGGACTGAGAAAAGTTTTAAAAATCATTAAAATGTCTGCGACCGAACGTTCTTATGCGTATTCAGCGATAAGTAGTTGCTTAGCAATGATACCGTACTCTAAAGGAACTACATTTCTGGGCGGATTACTTGTTTATGTCGGTTATTATTAATAATAACTTAAAATGCGCAATATTTAAGATAATTATTTAATATATTTTATGTTGGCTGCCGTTTTATTAAAGCAATAAGCCACGAGAGGCTGAGTGTTTCTGCGATTTTATAATAAATACAAATATAAACAAAGCCCTGTTTTTCTGTGGCTTGTAAATGTCTGAAGATTTTTAGTCATCAGGTCAATGTGAGGTTTTACGGTTTTAAATGAGGGGTGGAAATTTTCCCATTATTTAATAAAACTTGCTCAAAAAATCCTCAACACAACTGATAAAACGACTCAGGTGAGTGGTCTTCAAAATTATAGAAGTCCAGTTGACTTGATTTACTATTCGTAGATGATTTGTATGAATTTAAATAGGAATTCCACATGTTTGTAAAAATTCCTGCATAATTAAATCATTAAGATTCAAGCAAACTAATTTCGAGTTGGTTTTATCTGAAATGGTTCACCTTAGATAAACTCAGATGTTGTTGCAGTGTCTGCGATGCAAGCGTAGCCGTTTTATTTTCTATCCATTGTGACTAATGAACCTGAACGTGCCTTCTGAGTTTTATATGTAGTGGTGATAACAGTAAAATAATGGTAAATCTGAAAAAACAAGTTTTTTCAATGGGACTCTCTTACCTTTGAGTGGCTTTCGTGTACCTTTCTGCCATAAATAGCTTTAAAAAATATGTCTGAGGCCAAAATCTGATCTCAGTACTGTCATAAAACATCATCTCGGACATTAGTCAATGCATGCGTAACTATTTCACCTAAAAATCTTCTGAGAGGGAGCTTTCAGAGGCTTTAAACGTTTCAGACGTCTGGTTACTATCACCACCACTGTGAACAGTTCTGACATTGTGAAGTTTCTCCAAAAACAGACCTCTCTGAACTACATCTTTTACATCTTATTGGTTTAATTTTGCGAAGATTTTCGAAAAAAATTGGTAGAATTGTCCTCTATTTAAAAAAAAAATAGTATTTAATTTCTCAGGTTATTCAATCTGGAACTTCATAGTAGTAGTGCTAATCTAGAATCGCTTCCCAGTGTTTCCCACATATAGTTTTAACGATAGACGGATGGATGGATGGATGTGCAGTACAGAAACACAAAGTAATAGTAAGAGTACTGTGCAGGAGACGATGCAGTGCTGCCTGTCCCCACCAAAGACACCCACCAAAGACTTTTTAGACAGTTTCGAAAATGTTTTGCATTTTCATTGATCAGTTTCTGAAAAACGCTGTGTGATGACGTAAGGTACTCCTTACACATCACAAAGTAAAGACCGATTGTGTATACTTACCTGTACTTACCTGTGGACTGATCATCCTTGCCTTTAAGGACTGAAAAGAGAACTGAGTGGGATCACTAGAGCTGGGCGATATGGCCAAAAACGTTATCACGATAAACAAAACTCATATCGTTCGATATCGATACGTATCGCGATAAATGTCAAATCATGATTTCTTTCACGTTTGAAGGCTGATTTTGCTCCTGGGTGGTTAACTGTGGTTTTAAACTATCACTTATGGTCCGATCATGACAAACACTCGGCAAACAGTGGAACATTTCACTAATCTGTCATGGAAGAGTGGGAGAAAGTTTCTGAGCTGTTTTTATCAGCTGGAAAAGCACAGCTGCACTTTTTGTAATAGTCATGATTTAAGAAAGAAAACAGATTATTTTAGCTGTCTGGTGTCGAGCGCTCGGCTACCCCGCTACAAACGCTAAACAAGTGGCCAACAACGGTGCTAAACTCTTTAGTTTCTCAACAACGTCGACTCGGTTCGGGAGGTCACTGCGGTCACTCCTACCACATCCATGTCAGAGCAGATCACAGTATTCAGACACCAGCTAGACGTCTGGGTTTCTCTGTGCTATCGTAGTAGTTTAAGGGGTGAACCGCAGTGTATCTGACGCGCGCTGTGTAAAAGCATTATCTGCAGTGTGAATCTCTCACACCAGACAGAGTCCTCCTTTTAGGTAGGTTTAAACTGAAAGCGGTGATTTTGTGTCTTGTTTGATCTACAGTATCATCAATTCACCGTGTTTTGCCAGAGTGCTGCTTCAATTAGCCAGCAGCTAAAAACAGCTAGCCCTGGAGAGACAGCGCTCTCCCGCTCTCCACTGCCTCACAGCTTCCTCAGTTTACTTTCGAACATGAACCACTTCTTTCTTTCACTTTCGTTGCTCGAGAATGCACTAATACTGAAATATGACGGTTTGGCGCTGTAACATGGCGCTGCAGACGTGATTTAACACCGCTAAAGCTGTTAGGATGTTAGTAAAGAGGTGAGTTCACCGTAGGACAGTACAGTTACGCCACTGACCTCGTCACTCACATTCGGTCACAGGAGAACAGATCGCCGGTCGCTCCGCTCAAACAGGGAATGTATAACTCCGCGTTTCAGCCGTTGCTAAAGTATATTTGGCGACCCTTTTTTTACTCATGGCCCCCTCCCTCTCTAATCAAGTCGAAAAACTCGGAAGTGCGCCCTCTCCTGGCGACAGCAGAGTAGTGTCGCTTTCCTTGCAGTAGAAAACGCCACCAGGGCTTTCGCTAAAACGTCGAAGTGTGAGAACAGTGTATTATATCGAAATGTATTGAACCTGTCTTATCGCTCTATCGAGGAAAATATATTTTGCGATACTTATCGTTATCGTTTTATCGCCCAGACCTAGGGATCACCTGAGTTTTACTGACCTGGATGAGTCCATCCAGGGTAGAAGAGGAGGAAAGAACAAAGCTTGTTAGAGTTTAATAAGTGTACACTGCAATTGCAAATATATGTTAATGACATCATGAATGTGAAAATGAACAGTAAGTGGAGAATAAGAATTATAATTACTGTAACACATAAATATATTTAAATTTTCAGAGCTCTTGTTTTACCCAGGCCTGTAATGGTTTATTCTAGGGGAGGAGCGCCCCGTATATAAGCAGCGCTACTGGGGGTGCAAGGGAATTCTTTCAGCTCAGTAGTTGACTGAATGTAATGAATGTTGGTGATCGGTATGACTTTGCAGTCATTGATCTATGTCGTCTGGTTGTAGAGACTGTTAATATTGTTTTGTGTGTACGCGTGCAAATATGTAAATAGCTGTGAATGTTGGTGTGTAAATAAAGGTGACAGGGAGAAGAACTCTTGTGCAAACTCAACCTTTTCCAGGTCCTCAGACCAGTCGCCCGACACTACCCATAAAGTGTGCCCCACTGCTACAGCATATTGCCGGGTTGAGGGACACACTTTCACACAGTGTGCTTTTATTTTGACCGCTGGACGCAGACAGAAACAATGAGAGAATAAGCCGAATTTGGGAAAAACT